TAACTGTTAGTTTGAGCTTCGCACCATAGGTTTTAATTAATGGCAGCTCATGTTACCAAGATAGCACCTGTTACCAAGGTTGATACATGGCACGTATCACGAACATCAGAGATATTATGGCGCGAAAAGTGGTATGCAACGTATGTCAATACCAAGGTAGCACCTGTTACCAAGGTAAAATTTGTTAACAGTAACACGTGATGTGAAAGCAGGGTATAAGTAACCGACTGCGTGTAGTTATGTAGTTAACCCAGCAAAATTCCAATCTTCAAGCAGCTAGCACGTGACACAATTCAGCCGATCAGAGTACAGAAATCTGCAAAGTTAAAGTTGCTAACTTTTGATCGGCCCAAAATGACAGTTTTCTGGAGATTTGAAGATAACTCAAAATCTACGTTGTCTTAAATTTCCCCCCTGGTGGTAAACGTTACTTATTATACAAGATGATCATGTTGCAAAAAACAGGAAGTCGCTATCTCTTTTACTTTTGAAGTTAGGCCCTGGTCAGTATGGTTTTCTGAGAACTGTTATAATATTGTAATCACTTGTTGCTAAGTGTTGCTAAGTGTTGCTAAGTGTTGCTAAGTGTTGCTAAGTGTTGTTAAGTGGGACCTATCTGGCGCTAGATGTCGCCGCAAACAAAATGGTTTTTATACAAAACCCCTTATTCCAACCCTACCCCTAATATATAACAGTGACCATGATAACCCCGAAGCTATCCATAAACGGATTAAAAGGATTAAACGATTCAAAAGTCAAATTACAATGGTAATGTCTGACCAGATATACAAAATTAAACTTACCCAAAAGTCATAAAGTATATATATACAATGAACCCCGTAAATCTTAAGAGTGAGATTCAAAATACTTAATAATTTAAATGAACTTTTCTGAAAGTGTTCCGAGTCATAGATTATAATTTGGCAATATTGTTAATGTTAGGAATTTGTTTGGAGGACGCTTTAGGGAATCTTCGTTCATGAGCTTTGGTAAGGAACCTTCCTAGGTCTCCGATGGTTGTAGGGTGTGCGAAGATCTGTCCAATGTCAGAGAAGAGTAATGTTTTACTTTGTTGGGACAAACAGTGGCGGAGATCTTCATAGAGAGGGCAAGTACGCAATACATGAAGTTCATCTTCGATGATTGGATCAGGGAAAGGAAGCTCTAGAAGAAGATCGAGTGACTCCACATCTGTAGTAGAACAGTGTTTGCATGCCCTATTCGAAAGTTTTTGTCGATGCATGCCGTGTCTTCCAGTTTCGATGTTGTATTGATGCGAGCTTGTTCTGAGTTGCGCAAGTCTCCTAGTCTGCTGTGGCCGTAGGTTGATCGACAGGTACGTTTCGCAACCGAAGCTTGCCTTGATGAGGTTGTAGAATCCTAGTTTTTTGTTGAGTTTTCGCTCTTTGTTCCATTGTTGAACGAAAAGGGTTTTCATAGCCTCGCTGATTTTGAGCGGGTTTGAAATATCACTTCCTCCTGTCAGTTCTTTCACTGTGTTCTTGGTGGATTCCAGCCGGGAGAACCATAACAGTTTCAGATCCCTCTGCTCGGCGTAAGCGTGCCTCACTAAAGAAGAGCATCCCTCTTTGTCCAGTCCCTCCAACCTCCCGAGGTAGCTATAGACTTGGGACGTAAGCTCGATGGCAAGCGGGTATCTTCCAGTGTCACCCCACACAGCGGTGTTTGAAGTCGATTTGTTGACATTCATAGTCCATTTCATAAATGATAGGTGAACTTTCTCCAAGGGGGTCTTTTGCTGTATCCTGAGTAGCCGGATAACTCCCCGAAGCAAAGATAGACATGAAATTTGTCACATGGGAAGCCAGATCTGACACCCGTAGGATAGAACAGGAACAATCAGAGTGTCGAAAAGCTTAAACACAGTTGTCTTCCGGAGGTATCGAAGGTCAAGCATACTCTTGAGAGAGAAGTAGCTCCGGAGCCCTTTTTGTCTAAGCTTTATCTGAGCAAGTTTTAATGATCCCGTGAGTGTGAACGTAATTCCAAGATATGTGTACTCACGCACTGATGGCAAGGTCATTTCCCCGTAGACAAAATTAGTACTGTCCTTGAGCACCCGTCCTGCCCGGTTAAACACCATAATTGCTGTTTTTGATATGTTAACCGATAACCCCCACTCTTGACAGTAGGTGTGTACTTCTAACATTCTTTGAAGACTCTCTTGATCGAGAGCCAACAGAATCAGGTCATCGGCCCAGAGGAGGTGGGTTACTCTAGTACTTTTCAGTAACGGTACTTCGACATTTTCCATAGAATTAAGGTCTTCTGATAGTTGGTGTATGAAGCATTTGAAGAGTTCTGGAGACATGGGGTGTCCTTGTTCAGTCCCGCAAAGAACATCGATCTTTTCAGAGAGCTTGTTCAAGAGCTTGATTTTTGCTTTGGAGTTTGTGTACATGAACTCCATGCAACCAAAGAATCTTCCTTTGATGCCTAGTTTCCAGAGTTTGTACAAGAGTGCCTCCCGGCAGACTGTATCAAACGCTTTGGCGTAGTCAACAAAACAGGAGAACAATCTGCCTTTGTTAGCTTTTACATATTTTTCTATGCAAGTCGACAGTGTCAATATATGATCTGCTGTTTGCGCGTTTTTACAAAACCCCAGTTGATTGGGGGTGTCAGGGTTTGTCTCTGCACGGAATTTTATAAGTCTCTGGAGGAGAATACTTGCAAACAGTTTTCCCACGTTGCTGGCTACTGCAATTGCCCTATAGTTGTTGGGATCGTAGATGTTGCCTTTTTTGTGCAGAGGCGTCACAACAGATGTTCCCCAGGGATAAACTCTGTGTGATAAACATAGGTTAAAGAGATGCAGTATAGCGTACTGCATATGTTTTCCAGAGAGTTTGAGAAATTCATTAGGGATTAAATCCTCCGACACTGCTTTCCCTTTCTTGAGCACTCGAGTACAAGCCAACAGTTCTTCGGAGCTTATGTCTTGCTCAAGGATTTCTGTGAGTGTTTGCTGGGTGGCATCTCTGTTCATTTCGTCTTGTAGTTCTTTTATTTTCTTTGGGCTGATCGATGGTTTACTATACAGCTCTTTGAAGAATTTGCTGAAGTTAAGCATATCAAAGACGTCCAATTTGCTTCCATTTGTCTTCATATCTTTAAGCCTCTTGAAACGGGACCAGTTAATATTTTTGCCTCGTTCGATGTCACTACATAGGTCCTCTATGAATGCATACTTTTTAAGTTTTATGAGTTTCCGATATAATCGTCGACTTTCATAGTAAGAGTCTCTGAGTTTTTTATTCGTAGGATTTTTGCCGTAACTTTTGGACAGTTTGTTCAACTCCCGCTTGCCGTTTATACAACTTACATCAAACCACGGAGCTTTGGGCTTCATCCTTTGTGTCCTTTTTCTTTTTCCGCTCACTATTTTCCTATCTGGCTTGTTCCTCGGACCCTTTGTCGGAAAAATAACATCGGCAATGTCTTGGAAGATAGATACGAGTTCTTCATTAAGACACAAAACTTGTTCTCTGTCTGTGCATTGGGTTTCCGCGATTCGGGTTATTTTCTGAACAAATTCTGGCGAATTCTGGATCGCATGAAACTGAAATTGAAGTTTCTCGTCCTCATTATCCCATTTGTATGTTTTTGGTGCGTCTTCTAGTGTTTCAAGTAGATCCTCTGCATCAACCAAGTTGTGTTTGTGCTTTATTTTGCAGATGCAAGGCTTGTGGTCAGAAAATTTGTTAAGATTCTGCACTTGGAATGACAGCACTGATTCCAACAATTCAGGTGTGACTGCCATATAGTCAACTACGCTGGCACCATTGTAGTTGACAGAGGTATATTCCCCAAAGATGTCTCCCAGTGTGTTACCATTTAGCAGCGATAGTCGATTACAAGCGAGGAAATCTAACAGTAGGTTACCCCTAGAGTTAAGTACTACTTCGGCAGTGCAATACGGATGTGTTAAACTTATCTGAAGGAAAAGAAGTCGGCACCGTCTTGTAGCTTGCAAAGTAGTGTGACTCCAGCTTGTGTTTACTCGTCGTTTCGTGTGAAGCTCCGTCCCTGCAGGGGGTGTTGGGCGAGATCCGGGGACTTGCAAGGAAATGGAATGACATGATCGGAACTACTTCGGTAGTGCACTACAAGGTAAAGTGACTTATCTGGAAGGAAAGAAGTTGACAGCAAGTTGGGCAGCCTCTTCTTCCAAGTTCCGATGTGATCACGTGACCACAGGTGAGTTGTAGTTGTTAACATTTCGTAGAAATGGCGGGAGCAAAAGTTTTACAACGAAAGGCACGCGCAAAGCGATTGTATCATATGCCATAACCCTTACCACAATAACCCTATATATAACCCTACCCCGAGCCCTAAACAATAAAATTCGTCACGTGACCATTACAGTTTCTTTGCCCGTAACTCTCCAGGGAAGTAGTTTTACCCTACGTCATGATGCATGTGGGTGATTAGCAATCAGACCCCCCGACAATTGACCCCCGACAATTGACCCCCCGACAATTGACCCCCCGAAAATATAATTTAATACAATTATCCCTGACCCTGACCCTGACCCTGACCCTGACCCTGACCCTGACCCTGACCCTGACCCTGACCCTGACCCTGACCCTGACCCTGACCCTGACCCTGACCCTGACCCTGACCCTGACCCTGACCCTGACCCTGACCCTGACCCTGACCCTGACCCTGACCCTGACCCTGACCCTGACCCTGACCCTGACCCTGACCCTGACCCTGACCCTGACCCTGACCCTGACCCTGACCCTGACCCTGACCCTGACCCTGACCCTGACCCTGACCCTGACCCTGACCCTGACCCTGACCCGATTAATTTACCCCAGTTTAATTTTAATTACAATTATCGGGGGGTCAAATTCTCAGATTTTAAATTTGATATCTCACTTCCATTTTCTACATAACAGGTGACCGAAACGTACACGTCATTCTGGCGTACTGGCGACTACTTTCCGCCTCGCTGCTGAAACAAGTGAGCTGTCATGCGACACACGACACACGACACACGACACGCGACACACGACACGCGACACACGACACACGACACACGACACACGACACACGACACACGACACACGACACACGACACACGACACACGACACACGACACACGACACACGACACACGACACACGACACACGACACACGACACACGACACACGACACACGAAACACGACACACGACACACGACACACGACACACGACACACGACACACGACACACGACACACGACACACGACACACGACACACGACACACGACACACGACACACGACACACGACACACGACACACGACACACGACACACGACACACGACACACGACACACGACACACGACACACGACACACGACACACGACACACGACACACGACACACGACACACGATTATCGTAGGATGATGAGAGTTAGTTTCTGGGAAAGCCCTAACGATGCTTAAAATGATAGGGGATGAAAAGTTTATGAAATATTGAAAACTTGTCCGCAGGAATTCGTTGAAGTCGCGAGATTCGATACCCATAAAGTAACGTCGCCAACTACTAGCGAAAATGTGTCCCCACGCGATGGGGGTGTTCATGTGGCCAAATGTAATATCGGAATGTAATATCGAAAGCATGCAGCCTCATATTCAATATTCATACATAGGCCTGATATATATAGAACCAAAATACGACACTCATGGCCCGTATTCCATCATCGCTGTAGTTTATGACTCGATTAGGGATCGTTCACACTTCACATATTATTTAGTCAGCCGAGTCAGAGGGAGTGAGGTGGCTTTCCAAATGATTACGCTAGTGTTATTTTTACACAATATAGCTATGTGTAAAATTGATTACGGAGGGGGAGGTTTTACGCTTGTACTGTAGGAACATTCAAAGCATTTGTACGGTTTTTCACCGGTATCATAAGTCCGTTGATGTGAAACTAAAGCTGTTTTTTTGCTTGCATTGTAGAAACATTCAGAGTGAATGGAAGCATTTTCATTAGGATGAACCCACTGGTAGCGAAGCAATGCTGAGTCCTGGTTGAGACAATCCAACTGAGAAACTGCATTCGAATACACTTCTGATTTAATAAGAAAATTATCTTCCTCCTTTTTTCCAATTTTCTCAATTTTCCCAAATTTTACACTCTCGGAAGACTGAATTCAGAATCTCAATCAATTAGGCAATAGTCCATAAGTCCATATTCAAGGCATGGGTACTGCCAGCTTTCTCAAGAAACGTTATTAGCTGGTTATACCTTGCATTTTTCATTAAACGTTTAGTAGCCACCCAGCGTGGAGTGGCTCGGGCAACATATATTAAATTCATTATTGTTACGTTAAATCAGAACCAGAGAGAAACAAAGTGTGAAGGGCCTGAACGGAACCCTATATAACGTAACGCCACTATATAAGACAGGGCTGGGACGGTAGTTATGTGTGTCCTATATCCAAACTCTTTGCCTAAACTTCCAGTTATCTGATCCTGGACCGGCAAGTTTAATCTCTAAACCACTACTACATTCAAATGAAACATTATTAATAGTGTATGACTATGAAATTGAAATAAAAATAAAAACTGGGTTAGGTAAATCACTTTGTAGTTGCTCGAAAACTTAATAAAACAAAAATATTAAGGTATAAAGTATTATATTTACACTAACTTCTAATAACATTAATATAGATTTTGTAATATTCCCTGATTATTGATTATAAATATAATATACTTAACTTTATAGAACCAGACAATTTAATTTATACTTTGTCACATGTTATATCCCCCCAATATACATTGTAATACTAATAGTAAAACTACTAAGATTTATTAGACCCTTTAAGTCAGCATTGTGCTAATTGATATTTGATTTGAACCAGAAACGTCGTCCTCTTCCCATCATAACATATTACATAAATTTTGATTTACGCCCCATGGTCGCTGAACTGGCAGGAAATATGAAAGGTGGAAGGAAATGTTGTAGAGTATAAGGTAGGTGGGACAGTGGGAGCAGGTGTGAAAACAGATTCACCAGGTGAGAAGGTGAGAGGATCTGTAGGGTGAGACTTGTGAGATTCTGGTTGGTTACTGGAGAAGGAACTGGGAGGTAAGCTGGAACTGGAAAGAAAGGGGTCATCGAAGTTCAGAGGCTTTACAAATGTGAGAGGCTTCACGAAAGGTAGAGGCTTAACAAAAATGGGTCCTCCAACACTACATTTTTGAAAGAAAGTTGAATTTTGGATTGAACTGTAGGAACTTTCAGAACATTTATACGGTTTTTCACCGGTATGAGTCATCTGATGTCGAACTACGTTTTCTTTTACGCTTGCACTGTAGGAACATTCAGAGCATTTGTACGGTTTTTCACCAGTATGAGTCATCTGATGTTTACTTAGGTCTGATTTTCGGCTTGAACTGTAGGAACATTCAGAGCATTTATATGGTTTTTCACCGGTATGAGTCATCTGATGGTAAACCAGTGCTGATTTATGGCTTGAACTGTAGGAACATTTAGAGCATTTATACGGTTTTTCAGCGGTATGAATCATCTGATGTCGAACCAGGGTTGTTTTTCGGCTTGAACTGTAGGAACATTCAGAGCATTTAAACGGTTTTTCACTGGTATGAGATATATGATGGCTGACTAGGTTTGCTTTTCGGCTTGAACTGTAGGAACATTCAGAGCATTTATACGGTTTTTCACTGGTATGAGATATTTGATGGCTGACTAGGTTTGCTTTTCGGCTTGAACTGTAGGAACATTCAGAGCATTTATACGGTTTTTCACCGGTATGAGTCATCTTATGGTTAACTAGGTTTGATTTGTAGCTTGCACTGTAGGAACATTCGGAGCATTTATACGGTTTTTCACCGGTATGAGTCCGTTGATGTGAAACTAAAGCTGTTTTTGCATTGTAGGAACATTCAGAGCGAATGTAAGCATTTTCATTGGGATGAACCCACTGGTAGCGAAGCAATGCTGTGTCCTGGTTGGGACAATCCGACTGAGAAACTGCGTTCGATTTCGAATACACTAATTCTGATTTAATAAGAAAATTATCTTCCTCCTTCTTAATCTCTGTCTTGATCAGTTCCGGTGAAATACTTTCTTCTTCTATCTTCATCTCATCTTTAAAGTCTGGAACATTTTGCTGCTCCATTCCACTAATTATAATAAGTCAAGGTTCACTGTACAAAACTAAATTCCAGTTTTTATTTGAGGAGCTTTTCGTTTTGTTTACATCTGACATCAGGCAGAAACAAGCTTATAAAAAGTGATGATAGTAACCCAGAAAATAAAAAACAAGCGAATGTGGTTACCAAATTTGAAACAGGTTCAAATTAATGTTAATAAGGTATTCGGATAATGCTGATTCATATAAAGCTACATAAAGCTATTAAATTACGAAACTTAATGTTCTAAACATTTACTAGAAGTGATCTCCGAACTAAAGCTTCAGTACAACTGTTAGTTTGAGCTTCGCTTTGCACCATGTGTTTTAAATAACAGCAGTTCAGATGTTATATGAGCTAGCCTAGTCTATGTGGTCCACAGGGCGGAGGAACAATACTGTGTGTGTATAATAAGTGTATAACTGCAAATTACATTGTCTAAAGCCAAATTTTTAACTTAAAAGCCTAAATTTCGATGAGGTTCAGGAATAGGGATCCAGCTTGAGGAGTAATTAATAACTGTTAGTTTGAGCTTCGCACCATAGGTTTTAAATAAATGGCAGCTCATGTTACCAAGGTAGCACCTGTTACCAAGGTAACACATGGATCGTGACACAATTCAGCCAATCAGAGTACAGAAATCTGCAAAGTTAAAGTTACTTAAACTTTTGATCGGCCCAAAATGACACTTTTCTGGAGAATTGAAGATAATTCAAAATCTACGTTGTCTTAAATTTCCTCCTGGAGGGGGGGGGGGGGGGAGGGGAAGGGGGAAGGTTACTTTACAAGACGAACATGTTGCAAAAACCGGAAGTCGCTATCTATCTCTTTTACTTTTGAAGTTAGGCCCTGGCCAGTAACGGGGGGGGGGGGGGGGGGGGGGGGCCAATGGCATAAAATGGCATAAAATGGCATAAAATGGAGACTTTTTCTATGGAGAAAATGGAAAAACCCATGAGTAATTCTCCATTTTCTCCATTTTATGCCATGAATTTTGTCTTCTAAATTTCATCTTTAACACCATTTAACACCTAAATTGGACATCCTAACATGTTTATTTACGCTTACTAGGGACGTAACAAGCTTATGAAAGCTCATAGTATGCTACTAGATGCTTATTCTAGGTTAGTAGAGGCACACTTCAGGCAAACTCATAATTACTCAAGCCTAGTGTAAAGTTATTCCTACAGGCTACAGCAGGAGTGAGTAATAGGGGAGAGTAATAGGCACTGAGAAGTGAGACCTACATCCTCGACAGTCGAAACAAGCTCGCACTGCAAAGGGGAGGCCTGCCTTCCGAGATCGCATTACCAGGGGGAAGCCTCGAGTCCAAATTTGTGTATCGAGGGGTAGGTGCAGACTTCGATAAACCGAAAAACCAAAAAAATATTTTCGGCTAATAATGAAGAGGGTAGCATGAAACGTGGAGAAAAGTGGTTTTTAGAAAAACTTTGAAAAATTTTGACTTAGAAAATTTTCGGCCCGAGTCATTCTCGATACGTACCTCTTGTATCGAGAGCTCCCGATTCCGAGCTCGTGTTGCAAAGGGGAGGCCTGCCTTCCGAGATCGCATTTCCAGGGGGAAGCCTCGAGTCCAAAATTGTGTACCGAGGGGTAATTTTCTAAGTCAAAATTTTTCAAAGTTTTTCTGAAAAACACTTTTCTCCACGTTTCATGCTACCTTGTTCATTATAAGCCGAAAATATTTTTTCGATCAAACTTTTTCAAAGTTTTTCTGAAAAACACTTCTCCACGTTTCATGCTACTTTGTTCATTATTAGCGGAAAATATTTTTTCGATCAAAATTTTTCTGAAAAATACTTCTCCACGTTTCATGCTACTTCGTTCATTATAAGCGGAAAATATTTTTTCGATCAAAATTTTTCAAATTTTTTCTGAAAACCGCTTTTTTCCACGTTTCATGCTACTCTGTTCATTATTTGCCGAACATATTTTTTCGGTTTTTCGAAGTCCACACCTTCCCCTCGATACACAATTTTGGACTCGAAGTAATGCGATCTTGGAAGGCAGGCCTCCCCTTTGCAACACAAGCTCGGAATCGGGAGCTCTCGATACGGGAGGTATCGTAAATGACTCGGACCGAACATTTTCTAAGTCAACATTTTTCAAAGTTTTTCTGAAAACCACTTTTCTCCATGTTTCATGATACTCTGTTCATTAATGGCCGAAAATATCTTTTTTAAAATAATTTTTCTCGAAATTCTAAATTTTTCAGGTTTTCAATGGCATAAAATGGCATAAAATGGCATAAAATGGAGACTATTTCTATGGAGAAAATGGAAAAACCTATGAGTAATTCTCCATTTTCTCCATTTATGCCATTGGCCCCCCCCCCCAGTAACTGTAAGGGTTTCTGGGAAGCGCGTCACGCAGTACGCGTAGACTCAATTAATATGGCTAGGTGAATGTTTTGTGCATGTTTCGTGGACTGCAATTAGGTTTAAACCGTTTTGCGTACCTTTTTAAACGTTCATTTTAACTTTTTAAAGATCCGCTATTATAGGTGTTAATAGTTTAATTTACTAGCCAGTGGCCACTAGGTACCGATTACCTTATCGGACCTTATTTGGACGGACATTACATGAACGGACATAATTATGAACGGACATTAATATGAACGCTCGAAGGCATTCAAAACCATCAAAAAATCCGAATTTTTTCCAATTTTTTTGACGTTTTTTAAATTTCAGCAAATGATTTTTAAATCGATTTTTATGTGTTAACTTTTAAAAGCCATTCGGCGTGAAGTGGTTTTACTTTTATCTTAAACAACTTAAGGTTAACCTTAACATCACGTGGAGCTTTCCTAGCACTGTTTCATTACCGCCCCTGAGTAATATGAGCTATAACAACGTCGGACAATGTCCTTGGCAACACGATTTACCGTAATATCTAGAGGCTGGAACAAGTTTGTCATGTTGGCGGGGACTAGTTCATGAACTATGTTGTTGAGTGCCATAATTTCGTTGAATTTTTCCGCCAAGTGACCCTTGAAAACATCATATAATATACTAATAATATACTAGTAGAGTTTTCTGTGCCTCCGGCAGACCAAGGAGAATCTTTCCGTTGTTAACTTACGGCTCAATAAAGTTCTCAAAGTTGTCATATTCTGGACAAAAAGTTCGAAATGGAAAAATTTTTGAAAAAATTTCAACGGACTTTAACTTGGACGGACATTAATTGAACGGACATTATTTGAACGGACATTAAGATGAACGCCAGGGCCTCCAGCGTTTAAGTAATGTCCGTCCAAATAAGGTCCGATAAGGTAGTTTGTACTGCAACTCTTTCTAACTCTTAATGTTATCTTAACCATTACTTAACACTTTATTAATCCCATATTATTATTACTAATCACCATCTCAATACTGACTATCGATCCGCGTGACAAAGTAAAACATTGTCAATTGTTTTTAACAAGTTTAAATAAAAATTCAGGATTCGTGGTACATATAATCAAAAATTTAAACCTAAAACAGTTGCACAACATGTGCAATATAAACTTTACAGGGTTTAAATATTAGCCGGCAGTGATTACACAATTAATTAATAATCCCTTGCTATACCTATATTGAAAGATTATACAGTGTACATACTTAAATGTAATTAGTATTCCGACTTCCGTTTAAAAAAGTAGTTCAAAATCTAACTTCAAGTAATCACCACTCCAATTCACAATGGCAATATAGAACTTATCGTCGGTTTGTTAATAATAAGTTTCTTTCTCCACCCATCCTGAAAGATAATTACTGTGTCAACTCTCTGTTATTTTGGTTCACACAAACCTTATAAAATCATGAAAATCCTCTACTAAATGCTTATTTCGCTGGACTATAAAACCCTACCATATAAATGGTAGTAGTTAGCTGGAGCAAGTCATAGAAACAAACAACAAACTATATCTTGGAAAAATGAAATTTTACCTCCAGGATTTCTTCGTAGCAAGTATCGTCTCCCCTCGTCGTATAACCAGATAGTGAGGGAGAATGGCAGAGCAGGGAGCCACCACCAGAAACTAAAAAACAAGTCATTAATAACATTATTTACATATAAATTAATTAAACAAGTCATTATTAACATTATTTACATATAAATTAATTAAACAAGTCATTATTAACATTATTTACATATAAATTAATTAAACAAGTCATTATTAACATTATTTACATATAAATTAATTAAGTTTAACCGATTTAAATTAATTGGGGGTGTAGTGTTATTAGTGTGGATTCCGAGCTGCGATAAAATTTCAAGGTACTTATAATATAAATATAACGTTTACATGCCGCTGTCTATAATACAAGAGAAGGTATATTACTCACAGGAGAGGATATACTCTGAGAGCCTTGTTTATATTACAAGAGAAGGTATATTACTCACAGGAGAGGATATACTCTGAGAGCCTTGTTTATATTACAAGAGAGGGTATATTACTCACAGGAGAGGATATACTCTGAGAGCCTTGTCTATAATACAAGAGAAGGTATATTACTCACAGGAGAGGATATACTCTGAGAGCCTTGTTTATATTACAAGAGAAGGTATATTACTCACAGGAGAGGATATACTCTGAGAGCCTTGTTTATAATACAAGAGAGGGTCTGTTACTCACAGGAGAGGGTATACTCTGAGAGCCTTGTTTATAATACAAGAGAAGGTATATTACTCACAGGAGAGGATATACTCTGAGAGCCTTGTTTATATTACAAGAGAGGGTATATTACTCACAGGAGAGGATATACTCTGAGAGCCTTGTCTATAATACAAGAGAAGGTATATTACTCACAGGAGAGGATATACTCTGAGAGCCTTGTTTATATTACAAGAGAAGGTATATTACTCACAGGAGAGGATATACTCTGAGAGCCTTGTTTATAATACAAGAGAGGGTATATTACTCACAGGAGAGGATATACTCTGAGAGCCTTGTCTATAATACAAGAGAAGGTATATTACTCACAGGAGAGGATATACTCTGAGAGCCTTGTTTATAATACAAGAGAAGGTATATTACTCACAGGAGAGGATATACTCTGAGAGCCTTGTTTATAATACAAGAGAAGGTATGTTACTCACAGGAGAGGGTATACTCTGAGAGCCTTGTTTATAATACAAGAGAAGGTATATTACTCACAGGAGAGGGTATACTCTGAGAGCCTTGTTTATTATACAAGAGAAGGTATATTACTCACAGGAGAGGATATACTCTGAGAGCCTTGTCTATAATACAAGAGAAGGTATATTACTCACAGGAGAGGATATACTCTGAGAGCCTTGTTTATAATACAAGAGAAGGTATATTACTCACAGGAGAGGATATACTCTGAGAGCCTTGTTTATAATACAAGAGAAGGTATGTTACTCACAGGAGAGGGTATACTCTGAGAGCCTTGTTTATAATACAAGAGAGGGTATATTACTCACAGGAGAGGATATACTCTGAGAGCCTTGTTTATATTACAAGAGAAGGTATATTACTCACAGGAGAGGATATACTCTGAGAGCCTTGTTTATAATACAAGAGAAGGTATATTACTCACAGGAGAGGGTATACTCTGAGAGCCTTGTTTATTATACAAGAGAAGGTATATTACTCACAGGAGAGGATATACTCTGAGAGCCTTGTCTATAATACAAGAGAAGGTATATTACTCACAGGAGAGGATATACTCTGAGAGCCTTGTCTATATTACAAGAGAAGGTATATTACTCACAGGAGAAGATATACTCTGAGAGCCTTGTTTATATTACAAGAGAAGGTATATTACTCACAGGAGAGGGTATACTCTGAGAGCCTTGTTTATATTACAAGAGAAGGTATATTACTCACAGGAGAGGATATACTCTGAGAGCCTTGTTTATTATACAAGAGAGGGTATATTACTCACAGGAGAGGATATACTCTGAGAGCCTTATCAAGACCAGGAGTGTAGCACATGAAGGCAGCCAGCGCCGTCTCAAACAATATCCCCGTGTTCAGAACCCAGTTGTTCATTCCTGAGAAAACAGTTTATTAATAATGCGAAAATGTGCGACTATATTTGAAAATACGCAATTACAAGTAAACATACTTGTTAATGGAACAAAATATCGTACTGTTCATCGTTCGATAATAATCACCTTTTCAACCCTATTTATTAAACGAAACAGTATCCTCGACCATTTATCAATTCAAGTTGGTTAACACTTAAAAAGAAAATATTTTGTTGAAAAAACATATAAAAAATAGTACCTTGAGTAAAGACGGAGAGTTTTCTAGTCTTGCAGATGATGACATCAGCCCACTGTACGATAACGATACTGACAAAGAAGGCAGAATGACAGGTGTACTCTAGAACTTTCCTGTCTGCGTACGACTGTACAATAAGTTGTGTTATGTTTAATATCTAAATTCTTTGTGATATTTCAATTTGATTTTTGTTTAAGATTTGATTATAAACTTCAGGAAAAATGTTAAGTTTATAAGTGCAAGTCTAATGGGACAAAGATCAGAAAAATAATAAATTTTAAAACTCACCCATTCTTGACCATAAGAATCAGCAACAGATTCGTTATTTCTATCGTCCCAATATTTACGGATGCCGATAAGAGTGCTGGGTTTAAAGCCGTTCTCTGCCATTATGACAAAGTAGGTGAAGAAACCCGCAGATGCTTGTATCATTCCGATCTGACCGTACGAAAGGGAGATTAACCTGAAAAAGAGTGAGTCATTTATCTGTCACTAAGGAAATGTTGGTAGTTATTAGACTTGAGGACGGAGGTCTGTTAGATAATACATTTATCGTCTTCTTTTTATAATGGCTTGAATCCCCGGTGAACGTACTGCTGATCAAGACTAGGGCACTAATACTCTTACCTTTCGTTCACGAGTCTGTCTTTGATTGGATCACGAGGTAATCTTTGCATGATGTCAGATTCAGCCTTTTCATAAGCCAGAGAGATAGCTGGCCATAGATCAGTTCCCAGATCGATAAAGAGAATACAGACAGTACCTGTAAGTGTCAAGGTCAGTCTTCGTTTATTTCATGTTTTTAAGTTCTTATTTCCACCAATCGCATCAGAAATGTTCTTGACCTTTTCAGATGTATGGCAATATTTTCAATATTTGTTTATAGTTTCAATATACTGCTGTGTTCAGATGTCTGTACCTAAAGGAAGAGGAATGGAAAGCACGATAAAGAAGAGAAAGGGAGATATTTCAGGAATGTTCGAGGTTAGAGTGTAAGCGATAGACTTCTTCAAGTTATCGAAGATGAGGCGGCCCTCTTCCACTCCCACCACAATGGACGCAAAGTTGTCGTCAAGAAGGATCATGTCAGCGGCTTCTTTGGAGACGTCCGATCCGGAAATACCCATAGCAATACCTAGGAGGGAGGGATATTGGGAGTGAGGGAGGAGACTTATCGGTAAAAAGACACTCTTTGACATTGTCCAATATACCAGAAAGGACGAACAAGGACATGCAACAATCAATGTATTGTAACATGTGTAATGAAAACATGTTTCTGACACTCTTATATTGTGAGGGCAACATTGCTAAAACGAAGTTACCAACTAACTGATGTCAGCTTTCTTTAAAGCAGGGGAATCATTAACAGTTACCAACAGTTACCAACAGTTACCACCAGTTACCAACAGTTACCAACAGTTACCAACTAACCGATGTCAGCTTTCTTTAAAGCAGGGGAATCATTAACAGTTACCAACAGTTACCAACTAACCGATGTCAGCTTTCTTTAAAGCAGGGGAATCATTAACAGTTACCAACAGTTACCAGCAGTTACCAACTAACCGATATCAGCTTTCTTTAAAGCAGGGGAATCATTAACAGTTACCAACAGTTACCAGCAGTTACCAACTAACCGATGTCAGCTTTCTTTAAAGCAGGGGAATCATTAACAGTTACCAACAGTTACCAGCAGTTACCAACTAACCGATATCAGCTTTCTTTAAAGCAGGGGAATCATTAAAAGTTACCAACAGTTACCAACAGTTACCAACAGTTACCAACAGTTACCAACTAACCGATATCAGCTTTCTTTAAAGCAGGGGAATCATTAACAGTTACCAACAGTTACCAACAGTTACCAACAGTTACCAACTAACCGATGTCAGCTTTCTTTAAAGCAGGGGAATCATTAACAGTTACCAACAGTTACCAGCAGTTACTAACTAACCGATATCAGCTTTCTTTAAAGCAGGGGAATCATTAACAGTTACCAACAGTTACCAACAGTTACCAACTAACCGATATCAGCTTTCTTTAAAGCAGGGGAATCATTAACAGTTACCAACAGTTACCAACAGTTACCAACAGTTACCAACAGTTACCAACAGTTACCAACAGTTACCAACAGTTACCAACATACCGATGTCAGCTTTCTTTAAAGCAGGGGAATCGTTAACACCATCACCGGTAACAGCCACAATCTGGCCCGCTCGCTGGAATGCCTCTACGATAATTAACTTCTGTTGTGGTGAGGTTCGTGCAAACACTATCTCTCTGAGAACGAAGGGTGAGTTTCTGTGTTAACATAGGAAATAATCAGAAACTGTTCAATTAATATTTAATTGAGGTGATAAACCATTCATATATGCGACCAAAAAATTTAAATTTGATACAGAAAAGTAGAAACAGATCCCCAAATCGCAAACAAATACAAAAAATCGATCATAGTTTAAATTCTTAGACTCTTACTCATGCTCCAGGAGCAATTTGTCAAGATCCTTATCAGTCATGTCTTTTAGTGTAGTTCCGTTCACAACTGCCGTCTTGGACTCTTCTCCCGTTTCTACAGAGAGTGTGACGTCATAACACGTGGTGTGAAGTCACATGTCACGTGTTTCTACAGAAGTTTTCATTATATGGTATGAAGGGTCATGATGGTCTCTGTGTTAATCTTAGATGGTATGAAGGGTCATGATGGTCTCTGTGCTAATCTTAGATGGTATGAAGGGTCATAATGGTCTCGGTGCTAATCTTAGATGGTATGAAGGGTCATGATGGTCTCTGTGCTAATCTTAGATGGTATGAAGGGTCATAATGGTCTCGGTGCTAATCTTAGATGGTATGAAGGGTCATGATGGTCTCTGTGCTAATCTTAGATGGTATGATGTGTCATGATGGTCTCGGTGCTAATCTTAGATGGTATGAAGGGTCATGATGGTCTCGGTGTTAATCTTAGATGGTATGAAGGGTCATGATGGTCTCGGTGCTAATCTTAGATGGTATGAAGGGTCATGATGGTCTCTGTGTTAATCTTAGATGGTATGAAGGGTCATAATGGTCTCGGTGCTAATCTTAGATGGTATGAAGGGTCATGATGGTCTCTGTGCTAATCTTAGATGGTATGATGTGTCATGATGGTCTCGGTGCTAATCTTAGATGGTATGAAGGGTCATGATGGTCTCGGTGTTAATCTTAGATGGTATGAAGGGTCATGATGGTCTCTGTGCTAATCTTAGATGGTATGAAGGGTCATAATGGTCTCGGTGCTAATCTTAGATGGTATGAAGGGTCATGATGGTCTCTGTGCTAATCTTAGATGGTATGAAGGGTCATGATGGTCTCTGTGTTAATCTTAGATGGTATGATGGGTCATGATGGTCTCTGTGCTAATCTTAGATGGTATGAAGGGTCATGATGGTCTCTGTGCTAATCTTAGATGGTATGAAGGGTCATGATGGTCTCTGTGTTAATCTTAGATGGTATGATGGGTCATGATGGCGTTGAAAAGATAAATTGTCACTTTTGTTTTTTAAATATATCTCACCGTGTTTTCTGTGACTTATAAATTAAGAAAGTACTAAAAACATCGTATAGCAAAATATAATACAAGAGGGAAGAAGATAAATAACATGGCAATCTAACCCATTTTCATAGCAACATCCTCGGTGATAATCCCAACGTTCTTTGCGATAGCGGCTGCTGTTATGGGATGATCTCCTGTAACCATGATAACTTTGATTCCAGCAGATTTGCACTTGGCGACCGCTTCAGGGACATTGGCACGGGGAGGGTCTATCATGGCCATCAGTCCAACAAACGTGAGGTCTTCCAGTGGGAAGTTAACTGAAATATAAAGATTACAAAGTTGCTGTTATATTATATCCAAGTTAACATGTTTATAATACAGATAATGCTAGGTATATATCTGGATAGTGATGGGATTTGAACCATATTTGTTGGGACACGCAACAGTGTTTAATCTAACAGCATTAACGAATTAAAACTTAAGTCACGTGTCAAAACAAATATCTTTCAATTTGTACATCCTGGGAAGGTACAAAACAATGTCGGTCTTCGAAAATGTTAACCTTAAAGAGCAATAAAATTAAAATGTACAATGTACAATGTACAATGTACAATGTACAATGTACAATGTATAATTAAAATGTACAACGTGGTCAAACCTTCCTCATTGTCAAACTCAAATCCTTTAGGGAATTTCTCTTTATCAAGGAATGAATGACAGAAACCCAGCACCCGCTCTCCCATTCCTCCAAGTTTCATGTAGGAGGATTCGAACTGCGCTCGGTATTCACTGAATATAAGACGAATAGATAATAATAAGATAAGGCAACTGAAAGATTATTTTGTTCGTATCATGAATGAAACAAGTATGAGGAAAAGTAAAGGGAATATTCTGCTGGGTGTTAAAAAACCAAACGTTTAAAAGTTAATAAACCTGTCGGCAGGCATGTCTTTAATTTCTCCTTCAATAAGAATAGAGGAGCATCTGTCTAAGATTCGCTCAGGAGCGCCTTTCATCACCAGTAAATGTTGATCTTCATCTGGCATCTCGTGTACTGATACCTTGAGGAGAACTTGTGGTCAGGGAACGGAGTGTGGTCTTAAAATGAATATCACAGCGGTTTATCTTACTATATATAGTATATATATCTTACTATATATAAAGCGAGACGATATATATCTGTGCCATTTTACTGACACCACGGCATCAACTTTAACGCGACTTTCCGCAAAAACCGTAAAAGATATACAACTGAAACTTTTTTGGCTGGGTCAAATGCTTTAATGGCCTCCAAATCAGCATGAGAAAATAAAAAATTGGCCAATTAAATAGGTAATAATTATTTTAGTATCTTGAGTCTTGACACCGTTTAGGGTTATATTATACGGGTTCCTACTAGTATATATAAAGCGAGACGATATATATATATGGATGGAGGGAATTAAATTATTTTATTTTCTCTTGTTTCTTTTTCAACAAAGATGTGACAAAGTTAAATTTTTATGATTTTTTAAATTTTTATTTTAAGAACACTCTTGCACATTGTTTATTTATTTATTTCTATATTGATGTATAGTCAAGACGTGAGTGTTAGGGCTCTCATTGACAAAATTATGTTTAATCCTGTTTAATCGTTGTTATGTCACTCCCTTGTCTGTGAGAGTCTCTAAGTTTCGATGGAGAATGTTAGGACATATCTTAAGAGGACAGGAAGACTCACCAGCATACACCTCTATGTTATTTGCTATAAATTCTGATATTTTTATGGAAGGGAGACGGGGTAGACCATGTTTAAACTTATTAGATGTTATTAGAAAAGACTTGACTAGTAGAAATCTTGATATTAGACTTAAGAATTTGACTGATTTCGAAGACCTTAGATTTTTAGCTTTAGATAGGGAGGAGTGGAAGAAGTTAGAAGATGGTTGATGTTTTTGTTTTCTTTTTTATGCGTTTTGATATCTATAAGGTGCCTAGGATGCTCTTTTAAAGAGATATTTCGTACTTTGAAAGATTTACTACTACTACAATCCTGTTTAATCCTGTATATGGATGGATCCGTACCATTTTACTGACACCACGGCATCAACTTTAACGCGACTTTCCGCAAAAACCGTAAAAGATATACAACTGAAACTTTTTTGACTGGATCAAATGCTTTAATGGCCTTCAAATCAGCAAGAAAAGTTCTTAACTTAAAAGCGTCATAAGCATTTTTGAGAGTCCCGACGAAAATGCCAAATTCTCATTCTCAAAAATTATTTTTTACTGTAAGACCCACTTGATGGCCATGATGCAGATGGAACAGACATTTTCCCTTTATAGAATTAAATATTTGATATTGATTTTTATTTTTTACTGTTTTGGTTAATTTAGAGAGTTACGTTTTTAGCATGATATCCATAGATTTCATTTTCATGGGCTCGTTCCACATTATCATTAGGTCTCCTCTCGAGAGTTAATTACGGATTATAAAGTCCAAATCTCAGACAAATTGAGCACGAGGACCAGATGCAAGAAAATGTCATTCTTCTCTGGCAAATAATACTTTTAGAAAGTTCTCAACGAAGCCTTTATAATTCCAACAAACTCTTTGTACTGTAAGACCCACTTGATGGCCATAATGCAGATGGAACAGACAAAATTGATAAATGATCGATTATCGACTGTTCGAGCTTTTTACCGTCAAACTCAAAGTATTTATTTTTTGTACCGTTACCGACCAGGCACTCTTTATTTTCATTACAAGCCCTATATTTCGTAGGGAGAGAGAGAGCGAGAGAGAGAGAGAGAGAGAGAGAGAGAGAGAGAGAGAGAGAGAGAGAGAGAGAGAGAGAGAGAGAGAGAGAGAGAGAGAGAGAGAGAGAGAGAGAGAGAGAGAGAGAGAGAGAGAGAGAGAGAGAGAGAGAGAGAGAGAGAGAGAGAGAAAGAGAGAAACTGGTAAAAGAATATGCTATTTGTCAAATGTTGTACCTATCATTCCAGTAACTCGCATGTACAAATAATTTTAGATACGTGTTGGGATTATTGTAATCTTTCCAGTAACTCGCATGTACAAATAATTTAAGATAACGTTAACCGTACGGTCTATACTCTTCCAGTTAGGCCCGTTACATTAAACCCCTTTAATCCACCCATTCCCAAAGTATCACGTGATCAATGATTTTATCTCCTATCAATATTATAATTCAAAGAATTATGTCTGTTTGTCTATCTGTACGGCTGACGGACAACTAGGAACCTGTTATTTACATTAATAATATTACTGCCTTGTAGTGTAATTTAAACTGTGTGCAATATTTGGAGATACGGATCAAATAATCTAATGTAGAGCGAATGCCGAATATGAATATTCCGTCTTTCTTTAATCTTTGAATTTTAACTTGAGACTGCTCAAACTTAACAAGCAGTTCTCGCTAACGAATTCCGATCACATCAGCTCAACAAATGGTAATCTACAAGTTGTTAAGTCTACTGGTGATCGTTGTGGTACCACTTCATGCAGGTGAGAGAATTGGATATAACTCTAACTTTTAGTTTTATTGCTATATCCAATGATCGGTGATTCAATCCACTGCTTTAAATGTAATGCTTAATATCATGAGATAATCATATTTTCAGCCCTAGAATGTTGGGATGCGATAGACAGACAGAACAAAGGATCTGGATATCGTGGAACTAAATCTACAACACGAGAAGGGTACAGCTGTCAGAAGTGGACTGAGCAAACTCCTCACAACCCAAACAACAATGTCAGGGATATCACAAGGTTGTTAGATAACAACCTCCGCTCTACTTTCGCTCAGTATGACTAGGTTATTCGAGCATGATTGAAAGTTGGCTCCGGATGTATGACCTCGGAGCGAATCACCTTATTTTTTCCTGTAAAGTTTATATGTATAGCTTCAACATCTTCTAAAATGCAGTTTAAAATCAAAATTAATCCAGGAGATTATAACTTATAAGGATTCTGTTAGTGTTGAAGATATTACAAAGAATTCTAACATTCTTTTTTTAATACTTTCAACACTTCTATATAACAAATAATTTGAGATCATAAATACGATGTAGTTACATTGAAACGTCGAGTAAACTCCTTTCCCTAATAAGAGCATTTTTACTTGTCGCAGTAACCGGGATAAAGATAATTTTACACAGAATACAATTCTAACATATCACACCCACAGCGCTGGTGAGAAGGGTTTAGGTGATCACAACTAGAATGCTAACATATCACACCCACAGCGCTGGTGAGAAGGGTTTAGGTGATCACAACTAGAATGCTAACATATCACACCCACAGCGCTGGTGAGAAGGGTTTAGGTGATCACAACTAGAATGCTAACATATCACACCCACAGCGCTGGTGAGAAGGGTTTAGGTGATCACAACTAGAATGCTAATATATCACACCCACAGCGCTGGTGAGAAGGGTTTAGGTGATCACAACTAGAATGCTAATATATCACACCCACAGCGCTGGTGAGAAGGGTTTAGGTGATCACAACTAGAATGCTAATATATCACACCCACAGCGCTGGTGAGGAGGGTTTAGGTGATCACAACTAGAATGCTAACATATCACACCCACAGCGCTGGTGAGAAGGGTTTAGGTGATCACAACTAGAATGCTAACATATCACACCCACAGCGCTGGTGAGAAGGGTTTAGGTGATCACAACTAGAATTCTAACATATCACACCCACAGCGCTGGTGAGAAGGGTTTAGGTGATCACAACTAGAATGCTAATATATCACACCCACAGCGCTGGTGAGGAGGGTTTAGGTGATCACAACTAGAATGCTAACATATCACACCCACAGCGCTGGTGAGAAGGGTTTAGGAGATCACAACTACAATTCTAACATATCACACCCACAGCGCTGGTGAGAAGGGTTTAGGTGATCACAACTAGAATGCTAACATATCACACCCACAGCGCTGGTGAGAAGGGTTTAGGTGATCACAACTAGAATTCTAACAAATCACACCCACAGCGCTGGTGAGAAGGGTTTAGGAGATCACAACTACAATTCTAACATATCACACCCACAGCGCTGGTGAGAAGGGTTTAGGTGATCACAACTAGAATGCTAACATATCACACCCACAGCGCTGGTGAGAAGGGTTTAGGTGATCACAACTAGAATGCTAATATATCACACCCACAGCGCTGGTGAGAAGGGTTTAGGAGATCACAACTACAATTCTAACATATCACACCCACAGCGCTGGTGAGAAGGGTTTAGGTGATCACAACTAGAATGCTAACATATCACACCCACAGCGCTGGTGAGAAGGGTTTAGGTGATCACAACTAGAATGCTAACATATCACACCCACAGCGCTGGTGAGAAGGGTTTAGGTGATCACAACTAGAATGCTAACATATCACACCCACAGCGCTGGTGAGAAGGGTTTAGGTGATCACAACTAGAATGCTAATATATCACACCCACAGCGCTGGTGAGAAGGGTTTAGGAGATCACAACTACAATTCTAACATATCACACCCACAGCGCTGGTGAGAAGGGTTTAGGTGATCACAACTAGAATGCTAACATATCACACCCACAGCGCTGGTGAGAAGGGTTTAGGTGATCACAACTAGAATTCTAACAAATCACACCCACAGCGCTGGTGAGAAGGGTTTAGGTGATCACAACTACTGCCGGAACCCGGAGGGACAGTACACACAGGTGTGGTGTTACACAACTAACCCAGATAGGAGACGGGATTGGTGTGATGTTTGCACTTGCAGTGAGTTGGAATGTTGCCAGTCAAATTGAAAACTGTACTCTAATGAGCTGGGATATTCTAATCATTTTAGCTTTTAATGGTTTCAGAGTTATGGCGGTTCCTGTTGAAAATACATTGCCATTTGATGATTTTCTGCCTTTCAGATCAAGAGCTAACAGTGGACAGATCAACGTCTTTCAACTACCACGCAAACTACAAACCTAAGAATGCATACGATGGTAATTATAATACTTGGTACTCAGTAAAAGATAATGAAGTGGCTGGGAACTTCCTGAAGCTCTACCTCTCTCAAGCTGACAAAATCACTGACGTAAAAATGACAAGTAGACCAGGGAAAGGTTTTGTTTCCCGGATGGTGAACACTGAGGTTAGGGTCTATTCTACAGAGAATGGGGAGACACAGGTGGCGAGCTGTGGGAAAATAACTGGTGAGTTGATGTAAACTGAGTGAGTGAATTTTATTACAAAGCCTGTTGACAAAAAACAAAACCGACCGATTCGAAATTTTCATGGCAAATATTTGATCATTAATGTTGATGAGTACTACCTAAACTATCATTCCAATGAACTTCAACTAATAAGAATTTCACTATATTTTAGAAGTGAGTAACACGTACGTGGACAGTGTAGAGGGTCGGACCTTTACTCTGAACTGCAACGGTGTAGTGGGGGACATGCTGTATCTCACTGATTATGATGCAGAAGCAGGACACAACATAGCTGAAGTTGAGATATATGGAATAGGTAAGGATACCACTGAATTGCACAAACTGGAGCTCAAAACTGTCAAAAATTGTGGATTTCAAAAAATTTAATTGGCTTGCTCTTTCACAAATACGTTTCAGTTCCTCCAATAAAAATCGAGAAATCCGAAGCCAAAAGTTGGTATAAGGACGACAGCAACCCCGAGCTGCGATCACCGGACAGAGCATACGATGGAGACTACAGCACTTACTACAGTGTTAAAGACGGAGATGCGGAGGGGAACTTCTTGAAACTGTATCTCCCAGGAAATTATAGAATAGGAGCAGTCAAGATAACCAATAGACTTGATACCTGCTGTGCACACCGAATCTTAGACACTGTCATTAAAGTGTACAGTTTGGAAACTGAGACAGGAAACTGTGGAACTATCACAGGTTTGGTTTATAAGGAATCCGTGCAACATAATATGGACATATTAGTAGGACACCAACATTGATATGACACCTTATTAAATAAAACTCAGCTTTATATCAAACACATGTAACAGCCTAAATTAATGTTTCAGAAGTCGACAATGACAACCCAACAGACCAAGAAGCTCAGACTTTCAACCTGAACTGTAACAGTGCAGTAGGAGACATGATCTATATATCAGATCAAACCCAGGGGACGTTAGGCCATGGTATCTCTGAAGTGAAAGTTTATGAATCCATCTTTGGTGGTAAGTTTAGATAAACCTAGCCGGGTTTAACATGCACATGGACATTGGACATCAGTACCTATAATTAATGTTGATACCTATTAATGCTTTTCATTCATACAAAGTTAAAACAAATTCTTCTTGTAGTGCATCCTGGGTTTGGACAGGATATGCCCGCTTAAAATATTTCCATCACGTTACATTACATAATTCTGAAACATATATTATATTTACAATAAATTATGCATTATCACATAGTTTATCCAGTGAACGCTCTTTAAAGCCTATAGGCTACTGGGTACCCCGGTTACTCACAAATTCCGAACTCTTCATTTTACATTTTAATATTCAGTACCCTTCACTTCATATAATATGATTAATTATTCTCATCATTCACCATATTACAAAATGTATTTAATTCTTTCCAAGTGAAAACAGGGTAAATGAGATATAGTAGTGATACAATATATTATGTGAGAGTAAATTGAAATTGTATAATTGATAAATTTGATAAATTTGAATTTGAATTATGTTCTTATTGCAATGCTGATTACTGAGGCTATCGATCACTAAAACAATCTGCTGTAATGTTTTGCGCACTTCGTTTTAAATCGCTGAACCAGATTTTAAAAGACCTTAAACTCAGATATCAATCTATCAGGAAAAGTGGGTGAAATGCGAAGTTTTAGGGTAATTGCTAAACAATAGTCGAAAGGTATTTTCGGGTCTTCTTCATCCTAGTGTACATACATGTGTATAATATATACACAAAGTAATCTCAATATAAATATAAATTTCTAACAAAGTACACAGTTACACATCCGACCGATTATCCTGAAATCTCACTTGATATTTGTTGGTGGAATTGAAAGGAATTTCGATCACTTTTTTATGATTCTTGCGCACATCTTTAGTGGTAGTACCTTGGTCGACCCATACAATCTCTACTGCTTTTAACAGAGCGCTCTCAGAGGCATCACCTTGACAATCTCTGTGGAACTGGGTTATTAGTAAAAAATAAGAAAAAAGACAGTCTAGTGTGTTATTTTGACTTTTCATACCTTAAGAGCTTAAGGCCAATCAATTTGGTTCATAATAAATTCGGTTAAAAAAATGTTGGATACCATAATTTTAGTCACAAATTTCGCAAATTTTTAGTCTACAACAATTTTAGTCACATTTTTCGACTTTTCGAGACCATTTTCCATTCCATTTATTTGATTTTTCCATTACACTTCAATGAGTTAAACTAGATGCAAATACTGCCTGATATGATATGATGGGAAAAGGATGTAAGAGAATGCGAAAGCATAAAAGCAGTGGATTACACATGTAATAATCAAAGTAGTTCAGAACGGTGATGTCATCATATTAATTATAAATAATGTAAGCTCAATAATATTCATGTCATATATGCTCTACTGAAATATTGGTCTGCTTTTAAATTAGTCGCCGAAAAATTTAGTCTCAAAAAATTTGGTTTACAACAATTTTAGTCAAAATTTGGACTAAGTTTGTCGTTCTTAAGGCATGCAAATTTAATCACACAAATACGATTCAACTGTTGCTATAAGTTTACTACTAATTGAACTTAATTATTGTACATTATTAATGTTATGTTTGCTACCAAAATCCAAATTAGTTATACAAATGTATAATAATCGATATTCGCGCGCGCGATTCGAACCGCTAAAAAAACAGTATGTTGAATTGTCGATATCAAATTTTAACCACTTAAAGATATACGCGCGTTCCAAAACATACTGAATAAAACCGTGACAGCCATAAACCGTAAACGTTACAGTGGTGCTTATTTAGTATTCGGATTATTCACCTACAATTAATGTAACCTAAAAATGAGTGCCAAGAATGCTGTATGTACAACCTAATTCTTATTTCGCGCTTACAATAGCCTACCTTTGAAGGACATGTTTGTCGCTCTGTCCAGATAAGAATCCAGCTTTGTTACAAAGTGTCGCGATCCTTATCAGCGCATTACAGGTCGGTTCTTTCTGGGGTAAAAGGTTATCAGAAAATAATAAATAACCACGTAAAAAATATTAGACTTTTCTTGGTCAAACTGAAGCCGAGACTTCTCTCGATCACTGATGTATATATATAGTTTTAGTACTCAATGAACATGTAGCTAACAATGATCATTTAGCTAGCAATGAACATTTAGCTAGCAATGAACATTTAGCTGGCGATGAACATGTAGCTAGCAATGAACATGTAGCTAGCAATGAACAACACTCACCAAATCAAACTCTCTTTCTCGTTTCCCGGGAACAGTATCTCCCTTCAGAATCTTCAAATCGTACCAAACATGCGCTGAGGATAGTTTTTATTATACTTTTTTTTATTATACAGATTAGACTTGATTGAAGTAGAGAATATGATTAATGAAGTTGTTGATTTAATATTTTCAGACCGTAATAGATATATTTGTATTTCTAAAAGAGACAGTAATACATGTTTCTTTTCCAATAAAACCTATGATTCTCATGCCTGCTTTAGTCAAGATGACCTAAAAGAGGCTGTTAAATTTATTATTCATAACACTTATGTCGTCTTCGGTGGGATTGTATTCATACAAACCAAGGGTATTCCTATGGGTGGAAACTCAAGTTCCCCTATAGCTGATCTCACTGTTGGCAAAAAGGAATTTAATTATATGAAACGTTTACTTCAGGAAAAGAAAATGGGATTAGCAAAGATATTATCCAATAATAAACGATATGTTGACGATTTATCTACAGCAGGGTGTCATAATTATTGGCGCGTAGACAATTTTGCGTGAAATTTTAGCTTACCCAAGCTTTTAGAAACGATCATTACTTGACTTCTGAGGGTCAGTTTCCTATAGAGTCCTGATCATTCGGTAGATAATCCTTTATACTACAGTTCAGTCTAAAAACGAAGTCCGAAAGAAGTTAAATTTCGTCGATAATCACGACGAAAGAGAAAAATTTTGATTATTGGACTTGAAGCCTTCGGCTGCTTCCCCTGAATTCTGGGATGAGTCCGCCCGACTATATTTTATTGGGTCAGTTAGAGGAGAAAGAGAGCTTTTATAAAATCTATAGTTTTCTATATGTTTCGCTATAGCCTGAAGAACTGTGCACTTTAGTCTAAAGAATAATTTCAGAAAAAATTCACCGAAAAAAAAATTACACATAAATCCCTTACTCCTTCGTAAATCTAACCAAGTATGGAATCGGCCCTTTAAATAACGGCCTAAATTATGGGTTTTGAGGTACATCAACACAAAATTCTGAAATTAAGAAAAAGTTCAAACGATTGTCTACAGACCAGTTTTTGAATTTTGTAATTTCGACATTCAGAAGTAAAGTTATGACCCGTCGAAAAATATTGATTTCATCATAAAATACACATAAAATTTCAAACACGCCAATAATTCTGACACCCTGCTGTATTATTAACTACCTTTACTTTCATAAATTGATTAAAGATATTTATCCTAATTCATTGGAGATGGAGCGAGCTGGTTCCAATAATAAAATCATTAACTACCTTGATTTAAATATTAATATTTCCACAGAAGGACTAGAAATATCAGTGTATAACAAAACTGATGATTTTAATTTTCATGTTGTATCCCTTACATTTCCTCACAGTAACATCCCAACCGAGGTTGGCTACAACGTTTTTTCAAGTCAAGTTCTTAGATATGGTAATGTTTGCACTAGATTGGATATCTTTACCTCCCATCTTCACAAAATATTCAAAATTCTAATTGATAGAGGATATAGCCGTGATAGACTGATTAAAGGCATTAAACGTTGTCTGAGGAAATATGATAACGTTTTCAGGAAGTTCGGTATTCTAGATGACCGTAACATTATTAAAGAACTCCCCTGATATCTTTTGATTTATTGAAACACGGGTACTAACTCTGCTAAACTGAACAAATTCTGAAACTTAGGTGAATAAGTGTACAACGTGCTAAACCGAAGTTCAGACTGACCAGTGAAAATGGGCGAGCGTACCAAGTGTCATTTTAATTAGAAGTTTTAGTCAGTGATTTATTATTGAAGCTTGTAATTACAATATCTAATGCTCCTATGAATACTTTAATTAATTGTTTGTCCCGTTATTCTTTTTCCTTCCTCTTTTCCTTGTCATCCCCTTTAGTTTTAAGATTCTCGCTATAAATGGCTACAGCTAACACTATTAATGCTAAGTACCAAACAACAAGTGGGAGGTGGATCGTTGGTACCATTAAATCGATTTAACACCGCAATTCCAGTCGCAAGCCTGGGACCACTACTAGCATAGTCACAACATCTACAAAGCTGCCATATAGCCTGACTGACAATTTTCTCGACTGACTGACAATGTTTCTTCTTTTTCCCCATTTAGAATACAAAGATTAGTACATTTTAGCTTATGATTAATATTATATTTTAACCTATAGTTTACCTAGATTTTTAAATGTAATATTTAAATTTACTTAAATTATTTCGATAAATAAAATTAAATATTAATTTTTTACAATCATACAAGAATTCTTAGACATTTGGGCGGGCGATTTAGTGAGAGGAGTTACTTAAATTATAGACTTATAAAACTTATTCGCCAAATCCGTCAGTATAGTAAGAAAACCTCATAGCTTCATAGGATGTAGATTGTAGAATCTAGATCTGTAATTTGATATTATATGATTGATGTAAGACTGAATTATCACGTCATGCTATTACTCGTTCGTAGGTTTGTGTTCATTTTTATGTCAGTTTCTTAGAGTGCTGTTTTCTTACTGAACTCTTCTAGTTCCTACTCTTCTCGTCCTTCCGATGTGAAATTTACAAAGTTGATACTAAAAATATAGTTACAGTTGACAAGGCTTACTGTCATTTGATATGGCTTCTGATTTAAACTTTTAAATACTACGATACAGATATAATCTACAATATACATTCTGGAATGACAACTCATCCCAATTTCAAGATCATTAACCGACCCTTATCTAGTCAAATAAATTGCTAATTATTTGTGCTGCAATGATTTGCCATATTAACTAAAACATATTATCAATTACCATACATGACCAATTGCTTGATAACTCCACGTCATTCATGAGATTTCTTTCACCGATTTATGTTATTCGGCAGCAATTTTATGAATTTGATAACATTTCAATTTCAATATTATTATTAGGCACTGACACTAACATGTAATATCTTTATAATATAATATGGAACACATTAATATGATGGACTGCAGGTATGGGTTCGGAGAGAGAGGTGACAGTAAAGATATCAGTGCCTGTTCTGTCTTATCAATGGTCGGTGGAAGTTGGTGAATACGATTACCAAATATTATGTCCTGGAAAGAGCAGAGAAGGAGCAAAAATTGAGACAAAACATAGAATGGAAAAACAAGAACGTGTTCCAAAACTTAGCAAAAAAGTAGGCCAAAGCTGAAAAACACAAAACATCAGGATTATCTGGCAAATACAGCAAAGTTAAAAAGAGAGCTGATCGTGGAAAAGGCAAAGAATTGCTTTCAAAGAGAAGCAATTATAGGAAATCAGAGCCTGGACCAGAAGACTTTCAGTCGAGAATGAAAAGCATTATAGGGGAAATTGATAAAATTCAAATAGCGAGTTATTTAAATCCTATGTATTTAGATAAACCTGAAACGAGTGCTGATCGTGGGGGAAGTGAGAAAAGAGCCGGGATATTTTGATAATTACAAAGATCTTCAATACTGTAATGATATAAATATAATATGATTTGATTTTTATTAGTAATTGGTTCTTAATTTTTCAATTTTTTCCCAATTGTATTTCATAAACGTAATGGATAAGTTAACACACTCTACAGACCAAACTGCTGCATGATTTCGACTTAACTTTTTTACTTATAAGATCAGCTTTACAAATAAGCATTTAAACATTGAACAGCTGAAGACGATTTACACATGTATTTTGAAAGCTTCTGCTAAAACAACTTTTCGTATCACTTATATATATTTTTTTAACAAATCCCCCTCCAGATTTAAACATTCCTTGTCGCCATAGTTTTTTATATTAGTTCATTGCTGCCAAATTCTGTATTATTAGATGAAAGTAAAAGGTTTCAAATCATGAGATCCACTAACCGACTGTCATTCGGTTCTGGGTAAGAGTTCCGGTTTTATCAGAGCAGATGGTGGAGGTAGATCCCAGTGTCTCTACAGCTTCCAAGTTTTTCACCAAACAGTTCTTCTTTGCCATACGTTTAGCAGTCAGCGTCAGACACACCTTAGATTGAACATACCTTACTCGGGAATATTATGACTGGGATAAAGTGGTGGGTTTTGGAAAATTCCGCCATATTTTTCCCGGTCATTAATTTTCCCAGTCATAAATTAACCCGCTATAATATCCCCGAGTAAGGTATGTTACAGTAAAAATTCTGCCATTTATTCTTTTCGAAACAGATAGAAACAGAAGTAAATAAAAATTAATTAACAAATAAACATTAATAAATAAAAATTTATTAATAGATAAATGATTAAAGTTTTAAAAATTTGTAAGCTGAAATCTAATTAATTATTCGTGAAGCCTTGATAAATAGTCATCAGACAATCAAAACAGAGAATTAAGACCATCACACTTTATCACAACTTTATCTTAGACTTTATCACAACTTTATCTTAGACTTTATCACAACTTTATCTTAGACTTTATCACAACTTTATCACAACTTTATCACAACTTTATCACAACTTTATCACAACTTTATCACAACTTTATCACAACTTTATTACAACTTTATCACAACTTTATCACAACTTTATCACAACTTTATTACAACTTTATTACAATTTTATCACAACTTTATCACAACTTTATCACAACTTTATCACAACTTTATCACAACTTTATCACAACTTTATCACAACTTTATCACAACTTTATCACAACTTTATCACAACTTTATTACAACTTTATCACAACTTTATTACAACTTTATCACAACTTTATCACAACTTTATCACAACTTTATCACAACTTTATCACAACTTTATCACAACTTTATCACAACTTTATTATAGACTCACGGTGACAGTTGCAAGGAGACCCTCGGGGACATTAGCCACGATAATACCAATTAGGAACACAACAGCCTCTAACGGCTCGTAGTCGAGGAGAAACGCAAGGATGAAAAACGTAACTCCGAGGAAGACAGCGACTCCAGAGATTATGGCGATAAAATGCTCTATTTCGATAGCGATAGGTGTCTCTGAGGTGGGATACTGTCATTATTATCGATTATCAGAACAAGATTAATTATTGAAAATCTTAGAGCGTTACAGGAAAAATATGAAGTATTGTACAAATGAAGACTCAATATTAAAAGTTAGGTATAATAACTACAGAACACACAAACTGACTAACAACTGAGGGGGCCAGGCGGCCCATATCCATTTGACCAAAATTTGAGGTTCATAAATTGGCAAAATTGGGCGATAAATGGGCATCACATTTTCATAATTTGTCGGTCAAAATCTAAAAATGATGACAAAAATCTGAATACTTACTTTCAGTTCCCAGGGAAGATGCCAGAGAAGCAATACGACCCATGACAGTTTTATCTCCACACGAAATAACGATAGCCTTGGCTGTCCCCTCAACCACGTTGGTAGAGAAAAAAGCCAGGTTTTTTGTCTCGATTGGGTTGTCATCAGTGCAGTCTTTACCACGTGACTGAGGCTCCGACTCTCCGGTCAGTGACGAGTTGTCCACCTGGATTTCAGCTTGATAATTTAGGTAATTACTTAATTAATGATTGGATAATTGATTAATTGATTGATTATTAAACTGGTCGGGACTTCACAGTGGTGCTACACTAAAATATTAGCTGAATTGAAGCCGTTACCTTAAAACTAGAGCAGCTGATTACTCTGATGTCTGCTGGAAGTTTGTCTCCTCCTTTAACTTCAATCAAATCTCCGATTGTCAGATTTTCTGCTTCAACCGCGGACCTTTTCCCACCCCGTATTACTGAAGCTGTTTGGGGAACCATCTTCTTGAAGCTGTCCATTATGGCTGCTGATTTTGCTTCCTGGTTAAGGCCGGGGATTAGATAATAGGTTGTTAACTGATAATTATATTGTGATGAACGATTATCTCGATCCTTAGACCTTATGTATGGGAATTTGTAACTTTTCACAGAAATTAGACCTTCTGCACAGAATACGGTATGGGGGAAATATCATGGAGGTGGTAACATAACACTTAAAACCTGAATGAAATTGTACAATACCAGATAGTGATAATAGGCGAAGATGCCAGTGATAATACCTGATAATAGGCGAAGATGCCAGTGTATAATACCTGATAATAAGCGAAGATGCCAGTGTATAATACCTGATAATAGGCGAAGATGCCAGTGTATAATACCTGATAATAGGCGAAGATGCCAGTGTATAATACCTGATAATAGGCGAAGATGCCAGTGTATAATACCTGATAATAAGCGAAGATGCCAGTGTATAATACCTGATAATAGGCGAAGATGCCAGTGTATAATACCTGATAATAGGCGAAGATGCCAGTGTATAATACCTGATAATAAGCGAAGATGCCAGTGTATAATACCTGATAATAGGCGAAGATGCCAGTGTATAATACCTGATAATAAGCGAAGATGCCAGTGTATAATACCTGATAATAGGCGAAGATGCCAGTGACCACCACCACAAACGTCAGCACTGCTCCCAAGTAAACGTTATCCTCAGGAGGGTCAATGTATTTTGAGGACTGGATTCCTGGAGTAGTTTGTAGGTAACGGCTGAACAGCACAATGATTGTGCCACAATGATTGTGCCATAATGATTGTGCCACAAGGATTGTGAACATACCTGCTACTGGTGACTCAACACCCTACTGGACATCATCAGAGATCTAGATGTTGATTTACAGTAGGTGCTGTGTAACAGTGATTCTAAACATGGAACTAGACCATAATATTCCATAATATTCCATAATATTCTATAATATTCCATAATTTTATTATGTTATTTTCACAAAGATATTCCATTCCAAGTTGATCAGCACATTCCTATTCAATCTAAACTCGTTACCGTAGGTAATCAATAAGTTAAGAGCAAGAGAGGGTAATTAAGGGTAATTAAGGGTAATCAAGAATTTATTAGTTAGCAGCAAGCAGGGACAAAAGGAAATCGCGGCATGTACGGAATCGCGATTTTCCCATTATTTGCGACAAATTTTATGCATAGTTTAATGTACAGTCGTTAAAAATCGCAGTATTGCGATTTTTGGCCAAAATAATCGCGAAATCCTTTTGTCCCTGGCAGCAAGTAATACCGTAAGCGATGAAGCAGAGGATAGCACCGACCCACAGAGAGTTGCAAAACCTCCAAACAAATGTTTACAAAACTTGATCCACTCAGGGGTCGTTTTGGCTGGGGTCAATCTATTGGGACCTTCCCGGGCAAATATCTCTTCGAATTTTAGCTGTGTCAAACCCTGGTTGTGATATGGAATACCTATCATTAGTCATAAATTAAGTTAGTAAAATGACTGGAAAGTTTTGTTTTTTTAATCTGGAAACTGGCCCATAATAGGTTTAGAAGTTAGCAAACAAATAGAACTTACAGTTTCAATGTTGGTTTCAAGACGAGTGCAAACTTCGTTCCAAGGTATCCTGTGCCAATCCATATCTAATTCTTGCTTCAAGTCCTCCACTCCTTCTTTCTTTTTATCCTTCCCGTTCCCATTTTTCTCCTGAAATTGGGTTTTATTTGGTTTTGTTATCGGTAAACGTACAACATAACAAAATTGTAGAGCAGTTGAAAAAAGGCGGTACCTGAGGTTCGTGGTCAATAACATAGCCCTCGCCACAATCTTTACATTTTGCGGGCAAGAGAGCTCTGAAACCGAAATAAATACGATTCATAAGAGCTGGCTTAGCAAAGATTTTGAAACCCTTCTGATCAGCAAGAGCAATACCGAGAAACTTAGCACAACTTTCAAGTAACGAAACCGTAAACTGATCGAGTCGCTTGATAATGGCTCGTACAACTTTGAACACTGTCAAAAGTGGAGATAGGTATTTCAGCCTTATCGAGGAGTTTCCCGATGATGATCTTAATGTTTTCACTGTCATTTTGATTTTGATTACTCCCCATGGTTCAATGAACACGGTGAATACAGAGATAATGTTAGCTGATAAGAGCAGTAAAATCGACACAAAAGCAATTCGACAAACGTATTATTAATTTACATCATAAATTAAACTAGATAATATCTCACTGAAAGTTTAGACTTGGGTCGACCGTTAACCGCTGCCTGGTTTTCCGTGGCCTCATTGTAATCCTCAACTTGCACCATTGCTAACAACTATCAACTTGAAGTCCAACTGCCAACTAAACGTTCAGCTATCAACTAGACGTTCAGCTATCAACTTAAAGTTCACACTAAAACGGTGAAATCAAGAACAGCTATTCTCACACGAAACAAAGAACTGCAACTAAACGAGTTTTACTGATCGTGCTTACTCTCACGTACAATTGAACTCGATCATTCGATTCCGTTAATTCGATATTTACTTCGAACAATTTTAAACCCTATCTGTATTAAAAGTCTCCTTTTGATAACGGATAAGTTTTCCAGCAATGCATGCAAGAGATTGTGTTAAACTAGACACAACCGTTTAGTATCTGTACAAATACTGTGCAGTGCGGATGTTAAAACTGGGTTTCGTCGGAGATCTAGAAGTATGTTCGGGAACATCTATATAATGCTGGTTACGTCACGTGAGGGAGTGTGACGTCACACTCCCTCGCGTGACGTCACGGTACTAATCCTCCTCTTCTAGAAGTATGTTCGGGAACATCTGTAATTGAGCTGTTAAGACACCTCCGCGTTATGATAAGCATCACTTAACAACTGTAATCGAACAATCGAGTACGATGCTTTGTAAATAAGAAGATATTCTATAAGCATGATTTTTTAATGTATTGATTTTTATATCATAATTTATCAAGGACAGAAAACGTTTTAAGTTATTACCTGCTGTTTCTTGGAATGCATATTAAAGCTATTGACTACCGTATCTAAAAACAAGCATAATATGAAGGTGGCAATTATTAATGGCTCAATTTAATCAATCTCTTCTCACCTTGCTTTTTCAGCTAAAGTGTCAAAATCTGCCCCTTAATTTTATATTTCACTTAGAAATCAGTGTTTTCAGGTGCTACCTCCATTGAAATTATCACGGCGGACAATACTGTTAGAAAGATGGACGAATTTTAATATTATGCATCAAAACTTCTAATCTTAAGTATTTTGTCTATGATTAAAAGAACAATTTAATCAATTAATCAACAATCGGACAATAACAATTACATTAATTAATCACATTCTGCGGGCTGCAGGAATTTTATATCACGGAGTTATCACGCTTAAAATTAGGATGTATAAATTAGAAATATCTGACCTGGACTGCTTGGAGTGGTTATAATAACATAAACCCGCCACGCAAAGGGTTTATATAACAGATCATCCCGCGCTAGCGGGATGATCTGATAAACACATACGAGTGCGCGCAGCGCACGAGTTTTGTGTTAATATGTAATCCCGAAGCGCCAGCTGAGGGATTACATTTATTTAGCCCTGAGCGTGAAGTGTTTATGGATTATAATTATCTCCGGCGATTTCGACAAGGGATTTATACTTTAGATGAACACGATTGGAAAGCAGTTCATCAATCTGAATGTCAAACCGATCTGTCATAGTGGAGCAATAGCTTGAACGTTAGCAGGAACAAGAGCTGGAAGGAGAGCAAGCAAAACAATACTATTTTTAGGGCACGGACAAGGGTAGCTGGCTAGTCGCCAACTTCTCACGCCACGCGTTGGAGAAATTCCAAGAATTAGCTGCTTTGGCAACGATCCCAGGAATTTGCGTGTAAAAGAAGTGGACGGTTACGATGTTTCATATCACGTGGTGCGCTTTCGTGTCACGTGGTATAGACTCGGCGTATGCTATTGGTGGCACGTGGTACGCACGTGACGCGCCCACGTGATCGCGCGTCTAACTGTTCTACTATTATCGAGTTCTAATCAGCAGTATCATTGATTATTGTAAGTCGGAGAATTGAATGATAAACATCAGTTACGACTAAAAAGCGGGCCGGGTTTATACAAATTTCCGGGGCGGGATGATATCACCTTGAGATGTTTATCTAACAGCGGGCCGGGCTGAGTGATAATATGATCCCGCGTCGAAATCCCGGAGATATTTATATCTGAAACTCCTCGTCACAGAGACGGCAGAGACGGCGGTGAATACTGAATACCTTAGTCGACGTTTCAGTGAAATCACTAATCAGTAGTCACGTGACTGCAGCTTTTAAAAACTTCAGAATAAGATTGTCTGATTGACAAGGTTATGACCTTGTATTTGTTTGCGTTTTAGATATTAGATTAGGGTGTAATTCGTGTAAAAATTCGAGAGTTAAAATTTGAGGTAGCAATAATTTCACTGTTAAAGTATAAACGATTATCACGATTGTAAGGAATTAAAAGAAAAAAGGGATACAAATTAGACATTTATATCAAAATCACAATAGTCAAAACAGCATCAATATGAATAAATTCATCAATATTCATTTCCGCTTAACTTAAGCTCTATAAATTTTGAAATATTTTAGCTGAACTGTAAGTCATTGAATATCTTAATTTATACGTTATTTTAATGTAAAATTTAAGCTCTATCAATATTCCATAATAACGATCACTGTACGAAGAAAACCAGATGGGTTAAACACGATAATTACGTCTAATGTCATTAATTTATATAAACCGATACCCATATTTTAAAAGTTTTAAAAAACAATAAAAGTATGGATTCGATAAAATATGCAACTCACGAATAACTATACAAGTACAACCTAGAGCACATTCCTTTCAGTACAAAACATTAACATTGTCCACGAACCTTCCTGGGCTTTATCACCAGATATTTCTCAGTTATTTAGAATATATATTCGCATGTATCCACACTATATTTACATTACACGTTCAACGTGATATCATTATCAGTGCAGTATGTACAACACCAACTACACCGATCAATTGCCAATCTGCGAAACATTTAATTATTATTATCACTTCGAGATGGCCAGGCCTACTCTCATGCTGTCTATATGTGATGATTAACTCTGAAAAACTAGGGACATAACAACTGGGGAATGATCCCAGAACCTCGAGATTTCGCGTCTCTTGCTCTACCAATTGAGCTACTGACCCTGATTCCCAGAACGAAATCACCACTCATATACAGCACAATTTCATGCTTTGTGTGGAATATCATTTATCAGTTATTTATAATGTATGGGAGGCTTCGCCGGTTATACTAAAGACTCGAGTTGATTCCCCCTTTAAGATTTAGTCACCTCATACACTAAAGCTAAGACAGTACCCTATACATCCACACGAGAACTCATTTATTCTGGGGCATCCGGCCTTTCTGAAAATTCTACAGTATTTTCTGGCCGAAACCAAATTCCTTCACCTTTGATGGCCCTCTCCTGTGAATCAAATACACTTGAATCTATAAACTTATAGTCCGGTAAATGTGTGCTGTTATCGACAACACGCTGAAGAAAATCACTCTTCTTTAGGAAAACATGTTCTCCTTTATTAAATGTAGGTTCCACAATGTCCCCCTGATGAAGTCCTGGATCCTTTTTCCACGTATCAGCTAAATTGCGGAGGATACCAGTCCTAGGTCCGGTACCATGCTTCGAATACGATTTCCACTTACGTGCTATAACGTCAGAAAATTCCAGGCGCTCCTCACCACCAAGTTTGCCTATAACTACAAGGTAAGCTCTAGCTCTACTCAATGTCACATACATCGACGACAGTTGAAATGACATATACGATCCTATAACATCAGGTTTTTTCCCGCTTTGCGGGATGAAACCCTTTCGATTAATATTTTCCCGGAGATTAGCTACATATATCACAGCCTTCCACTCAGATGCCTGAATGCAATCACGATCAGTGATCATTCGTATGGTAACTTCATCTAATTTACCTTGCAATTTCATCATCATTTTCATTGGTATGGGACAAGGTTCTTCTTTGCTGCCGTGGTTGACGAGTGGAGTGTGCGAGTCAGATATAATCGCTACGTCTGCCGGAGATAGGTGATCACCCAAAAGAAGCAGTTTTTCAAGTTCGTCTAATATTACTTTGTGTACCAAATATTCTTGAAAATCGCTATTTTTAACAAAGACACAAACTGGTTTTGGGCCATTGATTTGATGACCAGGTCCTTTGTATAATTTAGGTAGCTTAAGTGTTTTTTTCAGTTTTGGTCCAGCAAAATGGTTTGCTTTGTGCATGTATACATTCTCTATAGCAAGAGTGATGTCTACTGTATTTCTAAGGCCTCTTGATAGTGATCGAAATAAGTCGTTATTCTTTTCAAACTTGTCATCAAGAGCGTTTCTTAAATCTCTATCGTAAAGGAATAAAAGCTGCCGGCGCCGTAAAAATGATCCTAAAGATTCATGTTTTAACTTGAATGAAACAGTCATTTGACTTTGGTCGTAAACCAGCCAGAAGTATGAATCTGACAGCGTTTCCACACCAATTCTTTTAGTCATCTCTTGGAAAAGTCCTCGAATTAGACCTTGGGAAAAGCCTGTATCATATTCATAATGAGGATCATTGTCTATATGGAACGCTAAACGTTTATCCAAGTAGTTATGAAAGTCATCGATAAATATGTGGCAATGTTTATGATTGATCACACTAAAGAATGCTTCTTTCACAATTCCACGAAGAAGTTCTCTGGCCAAAAATGTGGTTCTCGTAGCGATTCATGATGCAAAATAAAGATGTCAGATGCTGCATCGTTGCTGTTGAAAGCTTCAAAGAAAAGGTCATTTTTCTGTAATTTCAAATTTCCATATCTGGAATTATGTCCTCCGTACACACTGTGTGAAACCATGACCCTCATACCAACCTTGCTAAAAAGTTCTTCAACACCTGCCAAATCCATAGTTCCTGTTAAAAGAAGGAATTTCTTCTTTCCATCCCTATTATTTGATGATCCTCGAAAGAGTTGTATTATTTTGCCAAAGAGCAAAATCGTTTTTCCAGACCCAGCTGCTCCCACGATGAACTGGGACATTTTACTTTCTTGAAATATCTGCAATTGTTCATCAGTGAGGCAATCGATGCCAAGAAACGTTTTGAATATATCAGGACTCACTTCGACACTTTTTGACACTGGTTTCTTCAAATATTTCCTGTGAGTTATGTGCTCAGATTTTATTGCCTCGTCAACCTGTCTGATACAATATCCTAAGCTGCATATGTCAATATTACAGATGTTTTTCTTGTCAATACACCAAAGTCCAATTAAGGAAGCTTCAAGGCGCTGCATTATCGTTCTGTCGCCAGAAGAAATGTTAGGTTGGAGTAGACCTGCCATAATTATCAGTCCACCAATTGCTGAAGTTCTGGATTTCTTCCTGGAATAAAACCTTGATATTCCCCATTTTGTTTGCCAGATATGCCTTGTATGAAGGAAAACTAGTGAGATCGACTTTTGCTGTCTTAGGGAAGACAGTAAACTGGAGAATCGTCAAGTCAGATGTTAAACCCCCAAATTTCATGTATATATTTGAAACAAGTTCGTATGCTCGATCAAGCTGCTTTCTAGATTCAATTACATTTTTCTTAAAGTTATTATTACTAATTTGAATGGGGGACTTCACTTCGAACAGGACTATTGCTTGATCTCTAACAATAACCAAGAAATCCTGCTCTCCTTCTCCTTGATTTTTAGAGGATTCTTCTGACATAGAGAACAATTGAGCTTGTTCTTTACTGAAATCAAAGCTATGCAAGACAACTATCTTTCCTTTAGCTTCTAAACTCTCCAGTGCCCTAAAGAGGTCAACCTCGGCATCATACTGAACTTGTTGGTCTTTTTGTTTCAAGCTCAATTGAGAAGAATCCTCTTCTGAGAAGGCATCAACGAAGGTCTGTTGTGGAGCAGGAGGGAACATAGCAGGAGTATCATACTCCATCTTATACCTCGCCTGACGGTCAACGTAAATCCGTGCTATCATATCACCTGCAGCTTCGATCTTGTTCTCCGACAAATCGTCTGAAGAGGCCCAACATTCATTTATGCATTTTCTACAAATTATTGATTTGAATTGCTATTTTTATCATCAAACATTTAACAATTTCATTCACAAGTTCATGTTTTCATCCAGTTATCGATTTACTTTTGAGGATCAAAAAGGAATGATCTAATTTTAAAAAATTGCTAAATTTATTACGCTATTTAGACTGGCAACGCACCTGGTTTAAGCAGAGCGTCCTTGACGACTGCATAAACCTGAATTATCAGTGTGATTTATTGTTAAAAAATTATACCATCATTCATCTCTCCCTTCGATTTAAAACTTTTGATTTTGTACTTCACTATTTTTTAATTATCAGAGCTTTAAAGTTAACTTTAAAATTCTAGAAAATATAGCTTTATTAACCTTTTCTAGTTCATCAGAAATATTGATCTTTTCGTGAAGCAACATCGCCTTTTTATAACTCCACATGGCGTTGTAGACTTCGCCTAGATTAAAACAAGCTTTTCCTTTGCGCTCCAGAGCCCTTAAAAGAATTTCGATTGAGTCATCGAACGAATCACTCTTTAGAATAACGTTCTTTTTTAACTACACAAAATTAACATGTTATCAAGATTATAACAATGAAGCGTATAGGTTTATCAACATGAGTAGAATTAATATTAAATTGGAATCATTGCAGGAATCAAACCTGGAAATATCTCTGTTAACAGCACTATATTTTTCTCCAATCTCGAGTGCTTTAGAGCATACATTCTTTGCCATCAGATATTGCCCTTTTTCAATGTAAACCGCTGAAAAGAGTTTGAACGTTAATTCCACAAACACGTGTTATTGTTTGTCATCCAAACCATCAGGTCATCAGGTGACCTGATGATCAGGTGACCTGGTGGACAAATTTCATTATAACGTTTCCAGTCTTTATTAAGAGGTAATTTAGGCCAAATCTAAATTCAATTTAAGACGAATTTAAAGTAGACTCTAAACTGCCTACCTCCTTTATTATTGTAGAAAACCACCTGAGTAGGATCCAATTGTATCGCTTCGTCATACAAAACGAGAGCTTTGTCATATTCCTTTTTCTTATACGCTTCATTTGCCTGGACTTTTTTCTTGATAGCAGCCTGCTTCTGAGTTTCGTCTACTTCAATATCTCCTTGAGAGAATCTGGACATTTCCTACTAAACTGTACATTTCATGGATTAAAATAAAATTACATATTTTCGTTCAGTCGCCTGCACTGTGCAGGTAATCGTGACTATGAAATAACATAATTTAATGACGAATGCAAGCTAAACAAACCTATATCGGGGGGATCAGGTACCAAGTGCCGTGCGTGACGTCGACTAAGTGCAACTTTGGAATGTACAAAAAAGACCCACCCACCCCCTTCGCGGTACTAACTTTTTTTTCGGATGATATTTAGGACACCCACCCCTTTTGCGGTACGAACTGTTGAGAAATTACGGTACTAACTGTGTCTTGGTATATAAAATAAGATACCCACCCATAAATTGCTTTAAACAGCTCATTAAACATTGGGAAATGGGCATATTATACCCATTATTTAGTAGGGGTTTTGTTTTCAATGTAGTCGAATTACATAAAAAGTTACAAAAAAAGGAAAAAACCTCAAAACCCATTCCCAAAATTGAAATTAGGGGTTTAATGGTTTTTTTTTGGACACCCCCCTTAGTACCATGTACTGTTTTTCTGGGAAATGAGCAGCAGACCCACCACTTACAAAAGTACTAACTGCGTTTTGGAAGAAAATATGACCCACCCCCCCCCCCCCTCCCCCAACGTGACGTACGATTCTGACCTTATGATCCCCCGCCTATATATATATCTAAAATATACATAGAGTATGAAGATTGAAGGACCTATACAAAACGTACAAATGCATCATGAGCCGAATTATAGTGATCATAACATAACAATACATGATTGTATAATGATATTAAGTTGCACAACTGCTCGTTCGTAGAGTGAAGTATGTGTCAGTCGTCTGTACGATTGTATACGGTAAGAGATGCATGTAAAAGATGTATTGTATTGTGTGTACAAGTATAAATTAAACATTCAGCTAAATCACGTAAGGTTCATACATGTAGAGTCCTATAGATACGGGATAACCAGTGGTTATCAATGTGAGCAGGCCGAAATCTCGATTAGTCAGCGATATATTGTGCTTTTTAAAAATTTTGTATCTGAAAAAAGTTCATTTTGCTGCGTTGTATTCAATGCGAGTCAAAACGAGATTTTGAGTTTTGCAGTTAGCAAAACATTAAAAACATACTTCTTTGTACTATTTTCCGGTTTTATAGTAATTCTGTTTATGCTCATGTGCCGAAATTAGTATAAAGATGATTAACACATAACATAATTTCAGAAGGGAAAGCTTTTTGGTTTACTCTTTTACACTAAATACATGTATGGAGAATCCATAATCAGTCAGCTATGATGCACCAATTAATCTTCGGTCGTCCAAAGAATTTTCAGGTAGATAAATTTTTAGATTAAATGAGATTTTGTACATAATTCAATGTTTCAGATAAAATGGCTTGCATCATTTCAACAATTCTTTGAGTTAATAATCAACCACAGACACCATCCGCCTTTTGACATCATGCTGAGAACATAATAATTGGAGTGATACATTGACAGGCTCACTAGTTACTATTCTAAACTCTAATGCGTGTGTGCTGGTGACGTCACGTGAGGGAGTGTGACGTCACCCCAAGGTACTAATCCTCCTCACTAGTTACTATTCTAACGAGAAGAACTCTAATGCTTGCAATACTAAGTGTGCTGGTGACGTCACACTCCCTCACGTGACGTCACCCCAAGGTACTAATCCTCCTCACTAGTTACTCTTCTCACTAGCAAAACTCTAATGCTTGCAATACTAAGTGTGCTGGTGACGTCACACTCCCTCACGTGACGTCACCCCAAGGTACTAATCCTCCTCACTAGTTACTATTCTAACGAGAATAACTCTAATGCTTGCAATACTAAGTGTGCTGGTGACGTCACACTCCCTCACGTGACGTCACCCCAAGGTACTAATCCTCCTCACTAGTTACTATTCTAACGAGAAGAACTCTAATGCTTGCAATACTAAGTGTGCTGGTGACGTCACACTCCCTCACGTGACGTCACCCCAAGGTACTAATCCTCCTCACTAGTTACTCTTCTCACTAGCAAAACTCTAATGCTTGCAATACTAAGTGTGCTGGTGACGTCACACTCCCTCACGTGACGTCACCCCAAGGTACTAATCCTCCTCACTAGTTACTATTCTAACGAGAAGAACTCTAATGCTTGCAATACTAAGTGTGCTGGTGACGTCACACTCCCTCACGTGACGTCACCCCAAGGTACTAATCCTCCTCACTAGTTACTCTTCTCACTAGCAAAACTCTAATGCTTGCAATACTAAGTGTGCTGGTGACGTCACACTCCCTCACGTGACGTCACCCCAAGGTACTAATCCTCCTCACTAGTTACTATTCTAACGAGAAGAACTCTAATGCTTGCAATACTAAGTGTGCTGGTGACGTCACACTCCCTCACGTGACGTCACCCCAAGGTACTAATCCTCCTCACTAGTTACTATTCTAACGAGAAGAACTCTAATGCTTGCAATACTAAGCAACAAATTAACTTATGAAAAGTATGGCCAAGATTGGGAGATGTGGTTAATAATATGGTGATTGGTGGTGTGTTTGTGGTAAGTTTGCTTGTTTGATAGACATTAATTATTTTGCCCCTACGGCCCTTAGACTTTTCTCAGCTATACAGCTTAAACGTTAAATATAGTTCAGTGATTCCCGCTCGAGAGTAGCAATGTTTTAAGCCTTCTCAACATGGTGTAGAGAGCTGTGGTTCTTTCTCGAAATGGAATAATTCTCAAAACTTCTACAAAAACTGCAACTGAGGGATCTTTTTACTACTAATTTAAAACTAACCTTCTACTGAGTACACAATGTGTACCCATTAATCCACATTTTCAGTAACCTATAAGATATTAAGAATCAAACTTCTATCTAAAACAGATTCATAACTTTAAAGTGAGTAGCTCACGATGGTCCCCATCACTATCAAGTATCACCACGTGATTCTAGTTTTTACACATTCAACGTGTGCACTTCGCATTAGTCACTGTTTGCCACGGTCTGAAATCGACCCTATTTTTTACCGAATTTTTGTATGTATATTATATCTGTTGCCATTTTACTTACACCACGACATACATTTTAACACGAATTTTAGCAAAAATTCCGTGAGAGATATTCTATTGATACTTTTTTGGCTGGGCCAAATGCTTTTATGGCCTTTTGACCAGTATGAAGAAATACAAAATTGGCTAATGAATAAATAAACTAGGTCGTGAACATTGGACCCCCAGGTGGTGTCAAAATCGCAAATTAGATAAATATCGTTGTCTTTTGACACCACTTTAGATGGCTTTCTGCTAGTAAGGCCCTAATGCTATTAAGATGGAAGGCTACCAACCAATTAGAGTATAAGGCCAGCAATACCTATGAATTGAAAGTGTATTGGGGGGGGGGGGGGTGTCATGTCCGTCTATGTCCGCCTATGTCCTGTCCTTTTTGGATTCTATGAGACAACGGACGTGTTTTTTGGGACATTGGCGGATACGGACGGACATTGGCGAACTCGGACGGACATTGGCGGACTCGGACGGACATTGGCGGACCCGGACAGACATAGGCGGACTCGGACGGACATTGGTGGACATTAGCGGACATTGGTGGACATTAGCAGACAAACATTTTGAGAATTTTTCGCAACTTGTATTATAATCTTGTACAAAACAAACGACTTGTTAATCACACTAAAGCTATTAATAGCTTTAACTTATCTTACTATATATAAAGCGAGACGATATATATTTATCTGTACCATTTTACTGACACCACGGCATCAACTTTAACACGGGTTTCCGCAAAAACCGTACAAGATATAAAACTGAAACTTTTTTAACTCATTCAAATGCTTTAATGGCCTTCAAATCAGCATGAAAAAATCGAAAATTGGCCAAGGAATAAGAATTTTAGTACCCAAAATTTGGACCCCCAAGTGGTGTCAAAAACGCGAATTAAATAGGTAATAATTATTTTCACTGGGAGACTTTAGGGTAGGAAACTGATCCGGCCACCAAAGAGCCTTGACACCAGTCTTAAAGGTTTGACGGGTTCCTGCTAGTTATATCAAATTATATAGGGAGCCAGGAAAAGGCCCCAGGAGGAGGAGGAGGAGGACTGGGGAGGAGGAGGACTGTTGAGGACTGATGAGGAGGACTGAGGACGAGGAGGAGTAGGAGGAGGACTGAGGAGGGGAGGAGGAAGAGAACTGGGGAGGATCAGGAAGACCCAGGAAGGGGACCCAGGAGGAGGACCCAGGAGGAGGAGGAGGAGGGCTCAGGAGGAGGACTCAGGAGGAGGAGGACTCAGGAGGAGGACTGAGGAGGACTGAGAAGGAGGAGGACTGAAGAGTACTGAAGAGTACTGGCTGAGGAGGATGGCTGAGGAGGATGGCTGAGGAGGATGACTGAGGAGGATGACTGAGGAGGATGACTGAGAGGGAGGAGAGGATCAGGAAGACCCAGGAGGAGGAGGAGGAGGAGGACCCAGAAGGAGGACCTAGGAGGAGGAGGAGGAGAACTGAGGAGGATGACTGAGGAGGAGAAGGACTCAGGAAGAGGACTCAGGAGGACTGAGAAGGAGGAGGACTGAGGAGGATGGCTGAGGAGGATGACTGAGAGGGAGGAGGAGGACTCAGGAGGACTCAGGAGGAAGAGGAGGAAGAGGACTGAGGAGGAGGAGGATAAGGACTGAGGAGGAGAAGGAGGACCCAGGAGGAAGAGGACCCAGGAAAAGGCCCCAGGAGGAGGAGGACTGTTGAGGACTGATGAGGGAGGAGGAAGACTCAGGAGGACTGAGGAGGGGAGGAGGAAGAGGACTGGGGAGGATCAGGAAGACCCAGGAGGAGGACCCAGGAGGAGGACCCAGGAGGAGGACCCAGGAGGAGGAGGAGGAGGAGGACCCAGGAGGAGGAGGAGGATTCAGGAGGACTGAGGAGGAGGACTGACGATGACTGAGAAGGAGGAGGACTGAGGAGTACTGAGGAGGATGGCTGAGGAGGATGGCTGAGGAGGATGGCTGAGGAGGATGACTGAGGAGGATGACTCAGAGGGAGGAGGAGGAGGACTCAGGAGGAGGACTCAGGAGGAGGACTCAGGAGGAAGAGGACTCAGGAGGAGGACTTAGGAGAAATGAGAAGGAGGACTGAGGAGAACTGAGGAGGAGGAGGACTGAATAGGAGGAGGAGAAGGAGGGAGACTGGGAGAGGACTGAGGAGGAGGAGGACTGATGAGAAGAATGAGGAGGAGGACTGAGAGGGAAGAGGAGGAGGAGGAGGACTCAGGAGGAGGAGGAGGAGGACTGAGGAGGACTGAGAAGGAGGAGGACTGAGGAGGAGGAGGAGGAGGAGGACTGAATAGGAGGAGGAGGAGGGGGACTGGGGGAGGACTGAGGAGGAGGATGGAGGATCGAGGAGAAGGATGAGGAGGAGGACTGAGGAGGAATGAGGAGGACTGAGGAGGAAGAGGAGGAGGATGAAGAGGAGGAGGAGGACCCAGGAGGAGGACCCAGGAGGAGGACTCAGGAGGAGGAGGTGGACTGGGGAGGAGGAGGACTGTTGAGGACTGATGAGGAGGACTGAGGACGAGGAGGAGGAGTAGGAGGAGGACTGAGGAGGGGATGAGGAAGAGGACTGAGGAAGATCAGGAAGACCCAGGAGGAGGAGGAGGAAGAGTAGGAGGAGGAAGCATCTAAATGTTATTTCCATTTTTGTCCGTTTTTGTCCATTTTTGTCCGGTTTTGTCCGCTCTATTTTTTGTCCGTTTTGAAAATATAGGGTACCGAACGGACAAAAAACATGATCCCCCTATAACAGCAAAAAATTGAACATTTTATTTAGCAATTTAGGTGTCCATTAATGTCCGCTAATGTCCGTATATGTCCGCCAATGTCCGCCTATGTCCGTCTATGTCCGCCTATGTCCGCCTATGTCCGCCTATGTCCTGTCCTTTTTGGATTCTATGAGACAAGCGGACATAGACGGACGTGAATTGAAAGTGTATTCAAATTTCCATACGTTTCCCCTCAGTTTTTGCTCAACACTTTCTTTCAGACTCTGTACTAGTGAATGAGCTGATAAATAGCATTCACCAATATGAATGATATAAACGAGGATGGAATAGTAAGTGGGTGTATAATGATATTTATAAACGGAGCAGCACTAGTCCTCAATATCATGGTATTAATTAACCTGGTGGTCAATAGGCGGGTTCTACCCCCATACATGTGGCTGGTATTCAACCTCACTGCTGCTGATATTCTCTTTGCTTTCCTAGGTCAGGGTAGTGTAGCTTCGTTCGTTAAAATTATCTTTCTGAAGGCAGGGAAACACCTGTAGCAAATTGAATAAAAGTTTGCTGATATTGCCTGCTAGAAAGATGATTTTTTCATTGTATTTCTAAACTCTGCTACCAAAAAAAGAGTTTTTTTTTAAAAGCTGATGAGTGATGCACCCAGTGAATCACTTAAAGAAACTGGATAAAATACCATAACTATTAACAAGCTATCTGCACAGGTTTGACAATAAGAGGTCCGGGGATGATATACTACGATTATTACACCTCCAGTGAAGCAGGCAGAGTACTTTGCATCCTCTTTTTCTATGCTGTATACCCAATTATATCTGTGAACTTCAACACTTACATTTTGCTGGTTTTTAACCAGTTCATGGTTATCAGCCGACCATTACAGTATGGCTCGCAGGTATTTTATTTTGACTATTGCGAATATGCTAATTTTAAACCATACATGTCACTCTTGAAAAAAATTGGCACAGTCGATAGCATCTACCTCCTGAATCTGAATCATAGATTCTGAATTCTGGCAGAAATGCTGTTTACTGCACCCACCTTTTTGTTTAATGATTAAACGAGATCATTGCATGGCACAGGTGACGTCACATGACATGGTAAATGCAGTAAGAATGTCACTTAATTCACCGCATTTTGCACAGGACAATAGTCAAAAGAGAAAGAAGAAAATATTGCTAGCAATAGCAGGAACCTGGGGAGTGGCTCTAGGTTATCTTGGTATATACATTCTTCTTGTACACACCGGTGTTGGTATGTTTATTGTTTATTAATTGAGTTTGGGCATTGTTTATGTCTAGAAATGATTGAAGTTATAAAAATACAACGGCTAGGGCCTAGATTCTTGTACGCTATTTGTACACACTACTACTACTACTATGTCGGAGCTAAGTCCGATCTACGCCAGAAAACCCCCTCCATATATCCCTGTCCCGCATCAGGGTTCGCAGTTCCTCTTTAGAGTTTGTCCCAACTTCCTTCAGTAACATAGACAAGTAGCTTTGTCTTGGTCGGCCTTGCTGTGCTCTACCGTGCGTAGGTTCCCATAAGACTAAATCACTGGCAAGTAGCTCAGGATGTCGGATGCAGTGTCCCGCCATTTTTAATCTCCTGCTTCGTAACTTGTTTGACAGCCTTGGGAGGCTACCATACAAAGTTATATTGCTGACCTTGTCCTTCCATGAGATACCCAGCACCATACGCAACATCTTTGTGTATGTCCCGTCAAACTTTTCTCTTGAGCCTTTGTCAGTGTCCAGGTTTCTGATCCGTAGAGCAGTACTGATTCACAAGCCGCTATGAACAATCTAATCTTTAGGCTCTTTGAGAGTTTGGATTTCCAGATATCCTTCAGTCTATGTAGGGCACCCCACGCTTTTCCCTTTCTAACCCTTATCTCCCTATCTGTGCTCTCAATCCAGGAGCCTAAGTAGATGAAATCATCTACATTTTCTATGGCTTCCCCGGATCGACTTTGTAGGTCGCTAGATCGATCCTCCATATTCAGTGTCATGACCTTGGTCTTGCCTTCGTTTATGTGTAGTCCCACGCTTGCTGCCGCCGATTCTACTCTGAGCAGGAACTCGTTAGCCTTGTCCATGTCCTCAGATATAAGTGCTATATCATCTGCAAAGTCCACATCGGTGATGATCTTGGGCCCCACTCTTCTGCTTTTTCTACGTTCGAGGGTGAGTCCAAGTCGCTCCGCATCATCGCCTATGGCTTGCCTCATACAGTAGTCGATGACTATTGCAAAGAGGTAAGGTGCTAATGTATCACCCTGTAACACACCTGCAAGTATCTCGAACAATTCAGTTTCTCCGTCTGGAGTTAGGACTTTGGCCATTGTCTTCTCGTACATGAGCCGTATAAGCTGCACGATTTTGACTGGAATGCCGTAAGCTTCTAGAATCTTTAGCATTTTCCCACGATGTACACTGTCGAAAGCCTTCTTAAAGTCTATAAATGTCAGAACAGCTGGCAGTTTCCGACTCTTGACACCCTCTATAAGACGTCTCAGTACCAATATCTGTTGAGTTGTTGACCTTCCTGGTCTGAATCCATTCTGGTTTCTACGCAGAATTGTCTCGATTTCTGGCTTCAACCGGTTTAGAACCATCTTGTTTAGAGACTTGGCAACTAGGGATGACAAGCTTATTCCCCGATAGTTCATTGGTTCGCTAAGGTCGCCCTTCTTTGGAATTGGTATGATGTTGGCAGTTGACCATTGGTCTGGTTTCTCACCTTTCAATAGAGCATTGTTACAGAAGTCTAAGACAATTTGATCAAGGTCGCATCGTTTTAAGACTTCTGGGGCTATGTTGTCGTCACCCCATGCTTTCCCTTCCTTTATGCTGGACTTTGCTTTCCTGTACTCATCCAACGTAAACGGTTCTGTTCCGATATTCAGAGGTGGGTGGACTGGATCAATATCCTCTTCCGCGTTCTCTACCGTCGGTGGTGAGCCGAGAAGAGTAGCAAAATAGTCCTTCCATTTCTGAACCCTTTCCGTTGGTGAGTTTCCCTTGATTTTGCCAGTATATGATGGAGCTTTACCTGTGATCTTGTTGATCATGGTCCAGCTTTTAGCATGTCTGCCCTGCCAACTTGCTTCCTCCAGTTCCCGGACCTGCCCCTCCAGCAGGTGCTCTTTGGCTGCTTGATAAGCATCGCCTAGCTTCTGTTTGCCCTCTTGAACAGCTATTCGGTTGTCTTCTGTAGCATCTGAGTGGTATTTTATGCTACATTCCCTCAGCTTCAGCCTGGCAATTTCAACACTTGGAGTCGCTGAGATTTTACATCTTTTCTTTTTCTCCTTTTCAGGTAGTAAAAGTCGAGAAGTTGTCCTATTCGCATCAATAAAGCATTGGTACCTTTCTGTTGCCGTCTGATCATCCTTTTCAAGTATGGAAAAGCGGTTTTTAACTTCCACTGTGTACCTCTCTTGTAGAGCGATATCAGTTTTAAGTTTAGACCAGTCCAGAACCGGAGCCCTCTTCTCCGTCTTGCTTATCCGTAGACTAAGCTTTACCCTTGCTACGACTACTCTGTGATCCGAGCCAATACTGTGGTACACACTCTTGTAATGAAACAATAAGTTATTTTATATATGATATCATCAATAATGTATGCACTTAAACATCAATCTCAGACTTCAATGAATCACTGGTATTTTTCAGGAACAGCAGAATTCGATCCTGATATGAGCCGCTGCGCCCTAACTAGCACAGAAAAAGGTAAAGTAACTCACATGATCCTTCAAACCATCTTTATCATTGTACCTTCCTTCACCTGCCTGGGTCTATACCTTGGGATTGTCTTCATCCTAGTAAAGAACAAGAGAAAGCAGATAGGAGGAGTAACCAACCACGCCTTCATCACCATCACAACCCTGCTAGCTCTCTTCTACATTTCCCACTGGCCCTCACTACTGCTCCGAGATATCCCCCGGCTTCTACAGACCAAGATGAAACTTCCAACTTCTCTAAATATAGCAACCTCTGTGTTCTACTATTTGAATGGTCTGACAGATCCAGTGATATATGGGTACAGGAGCAAATACCTTTTCACACGTGTGAAGACACAGATCGGGCTGTCGTTTTCACGTCACAGCACGGTGGGAGTATCATATCCCACCAAGGTACAAAGTCCTGAAGCGAGCCTCCAACGGAGTGATGTCGAACGGAGCAATCAAGAGATTCCTCTGGTAAACATCAGTACAAAATCAGTTTAGACATTTATATTGTATGTGTATCATAGAAATTAGGAACAATGATGAATGAACTGCAAGGAAATAGTTTAAGCCAGGGTGCAGGAGTAATCACTTTATTTACTTGGGATAAAATACAATTTGTTTACTTATTTTAGGGTTCAATGACGCCAGGCTATGTTTATGAACATAATAGCCTGGGGTCCCCAGAAAAGGGATTCCATTTATACTTTTTGATTTTAAATACGGACTTTTGTGAGTTTTGCTTTGGTAGGATGAATGATATTTCACATGTAACACAAATTCCATGGAACATTGTTTTGCTTTGTTCAAATTAATGAAATACAATTATGGGAGGTGATATAACAAGGAACAGTCTATTTGGAACTAGCCATAAGAGGCTAGGGAAGTTCATTGATTAGTAAATATAACAATATCAATTATAGTAATAAAGTCAATCGCTAAATGTTTAGCGCTATTGCTTCTGTATGACCACGAACTGTTTGGCGTCCGCGCGTTACATGTACATATTCTTTCCAGTCCAATACCGGCCCTCACTTGGCGCTCGGTTGACTGTCACTATTACTCTCCACATTTCAAATATTGAAAACTCACATTATCAAACGGTTCACAATAACATTAAAGTAACAAAAACTGTAAAATTATTTCTCTGTCTTATTATAACATCTATAAAACGGTAACGATAAAAATAATGTCTTAATATAACATCTGTCCGAAAAATTATTTACAATTACAAGGCCAAAATATTACACATTTTAGCTCAACTACCCTTACGTCATCTCTTTCATCTTTATCAGTGCATTAGTCTTAGCCCTTCTACTCGGCCTTTCATCTGGTCTGGCTACAGACAGACGGACTACAGACGGACTGTTGGACGCTACGCTAGAGCTACTAATCACGGACGAACCAGACTCTAACTCACTATTTACAATCGGACTCGACTGGGACTCACGGACCACCCTACCTGGTTGCTCCACAGGTGAAGCTGATCGAGCTGACTGCTGAGGAATAACATTTGTTGTCATGTGGTCGGAAACAGGTATATGTGACTCCGCTCTCTGTCGTCTACGTTCCAGGACCTTGTTTAGTTTTTGACCCTTCATCATTAAATATTGGTCCCCGTCCTCTGTCAACCGTCGTCTTTGACTCTCGGGTACATCATCTCTCTTCATACTAATTACCGTATCTAGGTTTTAGCACATCTGCGTGTTTCTTAACCACTCTGCCTTCGTGCTGGATTGCGTAGTAGAAACCACACTTCTTACACTTGGTTTTTGATTTGTTGTTTGAGTCCCGATTTTCCGGCTGATATTGTTTTTTTTTTTCATTTGAGATGACTCTCCCTTCTTCAGATAAGGGTTATTTACTGTTCTCTTGAATGTTGGATGTTTACTATACTTAACACTGTTCACTGTGGCAGACATACTACCATGCATTCCTTGAGCCTCTTTCTGAGCTTGCTCTCTGTTGAGCGCTTCTCTTATGGCTGTTTCCAGATCCAAATCTGTTTTGACTAACAGTTCCGATACCAGTTTCTCGTCCTTCAAACCGCACAGAATCTGATCTAGCAAAGCTTCGTTATAGTTTGTGCCAAATTCACACTCATTTGCCAGTGACCTTAATCTTGATATAAAGCTGGCTCCAGACTCATCTGACTGCTGACGTCCACTCCTAAATTTGTGCCTTTGAGCGAATTTAGTAGGTGCCGGTGCCAGGTGGTCCAACAACAACTTCCTCAGTCTCGGATGGTTCGAGTCAGCTACATTCTCCGGCGCACACAAAGCTTTTAAAAGCTTGAATATTTCAGCATCACATTTAGATATGAACACGGCTACATTCTTTTTTATGATCAAGGTTCGCTCTGCTGCGTTACTGTTGTCTTCTGCTAGGTCCGGCACTGTCCCCATCCAAGAATTGGCCAGGGCGTGAAAATCAAACCTTTCTAACCAACTTTTCACGTCCGCCATTAGTGACAGGTTCTCCAACTTGTTTGCCATTTCGTTGCCAGTTGATATAACAAGGAACAGTCTATTTAGAACTAGCCATAAGAGGCTAGGGAAGTTCATTGATTAGTAAATATAACAATATCAATTATAGTAATAATACAATATATAACAGGAGGAATGCAAAAAAGCGCAGGTTATATCTCCACCTAAAACACACTCCCTAAATTGCGTGCATTGCGATAACTTCTATCAAACTTGAACATAAATATACATGCATGAATTTTGTATCACGTCGTGACTCCCATTGTCATTTCACTATAGTGTAGAGTTTTTACGATACAGGGAGAGCCGCGCACTCGTGCGCAGTGGGTCATACAAGGTATGACAACACATTACATGAATCAAGCTTAAATCTTTTGCAATGTATTAAGAATCGAATCTATATTATATATATCAGCCACCGGCCACTTCGAAACGACGAAACTGTTTAGCCATTGTATTATTAGGGTTCACGATAAAAATAAACTTGCTCGGATTTTCAAAATTTGTGTACCATTGTTTTTTAGAGACAGTGAGAATTTTCACAGTACCAAATTTGTTATGCCTTTTTAGAATGCCTAGGTGCCATATTTGATGGTGCGCGGCTTTTGCAGCATAATTAGGTGTAAAAGTTACTGGGCCGCGCTCAGCCTGTCATTCCGCCGAATCTCTATTATGTTTATGAACATAATAGCCTGAGGTCCCCAGGTAAGTGTAAAAGTTGCGTAATTTGACGAAATTCGTTGATTTTTGTCGTATTTTGTCATAATTTCGGTTTCTAAACAGGAATCATGCTGACATGAAATTTTTCAAAACCTTCCAATCATACTTAACTACCAAATCTACAAATTAGTTGGGAAATATTGTTTTGATTATAACCGCGAGCTGATTACTCGTGAGGTCGAAATGAGCGCTGGGTGCGATATTTTTGAAATTTTGCCTGTTGGTTCGGTGGATGATTTTAGCCACAGCGCCTTAAAATTAGCAAAATCGCAGGTAATCACACAAAGTTACAGCTAATTTAGTGATGTAAACACTCGTAGTATTATTTTGGAATAGAATCGAGCGCGTTTCTATGGTTACTAAGCGCGTGCCCAAATATAATAATGATTTGCAATTTGAGCGCGTGTCGCATTTTTATCATTCTATGATATCGTCTATATTAGATTTAGTTTTAAATTCCTTGGCGGTCCTCATTTATGTGGGATATGTGAGTGTCCCAGTTTATGTACCTTACATGGTTTTGAAATATAGTATCAAGGAGAAATAAAACATAAAATTCAGTCATCCGATCAACACTAGAGGTCCTAATGAAATGAAATCAAGAATTCAAACACGTACAATTATTGGCACTAAAGAAGTATTGTCAAGTGTGATTCGTGGTCAGAAACGTATGCCATTCTGTATGTAAGCTACAATTAGGAGGAAACATCAAGATAGTACAATGTTAGTATTACAGCTTTACAGATGACAGATAACAAATGTAACTGTCACCAAGATGCAGTTAAGCCTAACGCCTACTTTAGGCCTAACTCTGCGTTGGGCCTTACTGGTTAGGTCTAACTGCATCTTGGTGACAGTAAGCAGTAAGTATAACATCAAAATTTAACTAACCAAATATTTTAAAATTTAACTAACAATGACAGTTAAGACTAGCTTTGCAAATTTAAACTTGGCAATGTTGATAGTGATACTAATTCGCGGCTTTGTTTTTAATGCCTTATAAACATTGGACAGTTGTAAACATCAAACACAGATGGAATCTTTAAAAGAGATCTCGCACTTTTAGTCATGACATACTATTATTATAAATACCAAACAAGATCTTAAAATTCAAAAGCTAGATTAGCACAAGTGACTAATTTAAAAATACCCATGGGTAAGGTTCACGGTTCAATACCGGCAGTCATCTTTTTTTTAATTTTTGAAAAAGTTCGTCCATCTTCTCCCCCACATAGCATGTATTGACTGTTGAGTCTTAACTAGATCTACCGTATTTTCCAGGCTTCAAAGAGTGTAGTCGTTCCATGCTCCAATTAATTCTAATTAATAATAAATTGAATTATAAACACTGCTCTCAAGTTTTGAAACTTTTACTCAGCTGTGTGAGAACAACTACAAAAGAACAAACTGAGATAATTATCTCAGTTATCGATAAGTGCCACAAAAACTCTATCCTAAATTAACAGCCTTCCCGGCAATACACGAAATAATAATATAACTCAGTAACTTAGAGTCTCGAGTTCATGAATTAAGTTTTTCCAAATCATGATTTGATAAACCGGTGAACAGATAAGTCTTGTAGAACTTGTAACTCTTCACTTTATATATCATCGATCAGGTCCTGAAATATTAAACTCTGTTAATTTATGATTTTTTAGTTTAAAAAAAAAAAAAATTGTGGAATCCACCTGCGGCTCATGGAAGTTGGGGGACTGTTTTGGAGCTGGAGAGCGTCCAGAGGCGGTTTACCCGTCTGATTGATGAGGTGGGTACTCTTCCTTACAGCCGTAGACTGGAAATCCTCAATTTGACAACGCTGGCAGAGCGGCGAATACGTGGGGACCTTATTGAAGCTTTTAAGGTTATTAATGGTATGACTGATTATGGTTCAGACTTGTTCAGACCAAGCAGATCAGGTCTTAATCAAAAATAATTATTCAAACAATATACACATAATATAACAATTACCCTATATAAAATTCAATAGAAATTCAATAGAAAACCCTTGAACACCCTTTAAGTAGTATAAGTAAGCCAGTTTAAAGAACTGGCTCCAAATTTATATCTAATTCTGCTATTTTTACTGCACTACTACTTTTAAACCCTCAGGTCTTAATCTGGTTTCATCCAATAGATGTAGTAAAAGTGTGACAAAGGTCAAGAATATCCAGAAGTCTTTTCTCCCGGAGCGAGTTATTCCATATTGGAACAAACTCCCTCCGGACGTCAAGAACTCTGTGACAGTTTTAGGTTTAAAATTAAATTAGAAGGATATAAGATAGATATGATCTCTAAAAGTATTACAAATGATTGCTTTTTTTGGAATGTTTCTAATGAAGTTTTAGTAAGAATTGAGGGAGCCAGTTATGTCAGTAATAAAGAGAAACATA